ATGTCCTCCGAACCAACAATAGTCTGAGCTAATGTACCGATAGGTCATCATCACGACTGCGCGAATGATCTCCTTGCTTGGAACAAACGAATACCATAGACGAGCAAGCTCGCTACAACGTTACCGTTATGTAAGCAAGCATAGAACGTCCCGACCGACTGAGCTTAGAATCGAGGCGAGGTTTACATAAATAATGTCAGCGCAGCCAGCGACTCGCTGGTTGCGCATCGGCAGACAGTTTGAGAGGCACACACGCGGTAGCATGGCTCGACCGAGCGCCTGATATGCACGTCGAAACAAGACGTCCCCTCAACATTACATGTATTTAGCGTGAGCCGCTTGCACCATCAAAGCCATAGAACGCAGGCGTTCAAGTCCAACGCGGCAACATTTTGAACACACTTTTGGACAAAGTCGAACGAATTTCGTCGGACACACTTGCTACGAGCAGGTACGACACCTGCGGCCTCGAGCCGTTGCCACCGGCTGCAATATACGGCCTTTCTGGGCAGCACTGTGATTGGAGAGTTCGGACACGTCAAGGCGACTTTACCTTGCCATGTCTTACTGGATGACCACCTGGCTGTCCATGCGCCACATTTGCTTGGTTCACCCCGCGTGTGTACTCTAGTTGTAGCAGCCCTGCACAGCCAATGGTGCCAGTGGTCATTGCTCTTCTCTTGCGCAACAATCTATTCACTAGACAAGTGGATCAACTTGAACGTTGGGGCAACGGCACCGATGGTGAAGAGGGTACATTGGCAGCTGACAATGGCCACTGCACCGACATACGCTCGGCGAGATGACGGCATCTCGTCCCGCCCGTGCTCCGAAGTCGCTTCTGGTTCAAGATTGAGGGGCTGTGTATATACTTGTGAACATCGAGTATCGGTGAATCGTCGGCGGTGAAGTAATGGCGTTCGCTGGGCCGAAGGAACGCACGCAAGGTGTCCAGAGGCACTGCAAGTCCGATCCATCCTGCTCCTTCCGACCAGCTCATTGCTGTTGCCGCATTACTGCTTATCTCGGTCAGGCGCCCACATACGCATCATTGCCTCTGAGCATGGAGCGACTTGAACTGTGTTGCCATTGCGGCTGCACTGATAGCAGTTCGCGAGAGTGGGTGCGTCGAGAGATGTGGTGCTGGCTCCTCCAGTTGTGCTGGGCTATAAATGCTAGGCCAGATCCAACGCCTATCGCTTTGGGCAGCTGGCATGCGCGCTGACCCGATGTGATGTTGCCCCGTGGACATGCCCAGTTAGTCGAAACGCCGACTAATTGAAATCCCACTGGCGAGGCCAGTGCCACGGTCGTTATCCGGATGCCAAGATATTTTCAGGCGTTCAACGTATAGTGGTCGGTTGGGTGCCGGATACGCGCTCGCCGTGCAGGAGCGTGTCATCATTAGCTTCACGAGCATGTACCGAGCCCGACCGCGACGAAGCGTCAGCTTCGACGGTCACGACCGCAGCCGCTTCACCGACGCCCGCTTCGCGCCGGTCTTCAAGGAGCGCCGGCCGTCGGCGCGGCCCGAGGTCGACGACGACGACGACGACGACAACAACCAGCACTCGCACGAAGCGGTGGCCGACCTGCACCTGCAACAAACGTTCCTCAACGACGAGCTCGTGGCCCGCGATATGAAGCGCCAGCGCGTCATCGAAGAGATCTGCGCCACGGAAGCGAGTTACGTCTCGAACCTCAAGGTGCTCGTGTCGGCCTTTGTGACGCCGATGGAGGTCGCGGGCAATACGATGCTGGCCAACCCGACCGTCGCCGTACGTCCGCCACGAGTCTTGCCGCTATCGATACAACCATGTGATGCTAGGTGTTCTTCCAGAGCCTCAAGCAGATTTTGACCGTGAACGCGCAACTGCTCACCGAGGTCGGCGGCCTCCCGTCGTCGGCGGACTCGATCGGCGCGCTCTTCTGTCGCTACGCACCGCTCTTTCGATGCTACGCCGACTATGCCAAGAACTTTGACGAAGTTGCGCAGCTGCTGCGTCCGCATCGGTCGCCCAAGTTTGCAGCGTTCGTGCAGGTACCCGATTCCTGTCCTGTCCATGGCCGTCAACAGTCGACACGTAGCAATGCCAGCTGCAATCTGGGTCGATGCAGAACTTTGAGAGTCTCCTCATCACGCCCGTGCAGCGCGTACCCCGATACAAGCTCCTCCTCGAGGTACGCTACCGTCCTGCTGCCATTGCCACCACTCATACCTCCTCGACCAGCGGATTGCGGGCTTGACAGGCGAGGGCCACCCCGACCATGCGTCGCTGCTTCAGGCTGTCGTGGCCGTCGGTGACGCGGCGCAGCTCATCAACGAAACCGTGCGGCAGAAGGAAAACATGGAGCATGTGCTACGTGTCCAAGCTCAATTTGTGGGCCAGCTCTCGCTCTTCACGCTCGACCGGCGTCTCGTGTGCGCCGGCGTCCTTGTCAAAGTACGTTTACCAAATCTCAATTTCCAATCTCCAAAGCCCCAAAGCTCACACGAATGGCACCTTAGATCTCAACCAAACGCGATGAGAAGGTCATGCTGCACCTCTTCAACGACCTGCTTTTGTACAGCGACATTTTGCCCGCCGAGACGTACCACTGTCGCCGCAGCGTTGCGCTTGCCTCGTCGGCGTGTGGCATCGACGCCACGCTCCCCGAGTCGTACCTTCCGCTCTTCTCGGTTGACCGCCCGCACCTCCAGCGCGACTGTGGCTTCAAGGTCGTCGTTCTTGCACAAGGTCCAACCCCACTCAGGCGCATCGATGTAGATCAACAGCGCGGAAAAGTCGTTTGTGCTCTTTGCAGCATCCGTCGACGAGAAGAACCGGTGGGTGCAGCTCATTGCCGACGCGATCGCGGGCGCCCAGGAGACAGGGCGGGAAGCGGCCCTCGAGAACGCCGCCGCCGTGTGGATTCCCGATGACGCGGTCGAGTCGTGCTCGCTGTGCCGACGCCGCTTTGCTGTGAGCTTCCGGCGGCACCACTGCCGGTACGCCGACCGTGTTTGTCCCTTCTACTATCGACTATAGACGCTGTGGCAACGTTGTGTGTGGCAACTGCTCGACGCACCGTGCGTATGTGATCGACAACGACCCGAAAGAGAAGCGCGTGTGTGACGGGTGCTTCCCGGTCCTTGCCGCCGTCAAGCGATGCGCGATGCGATGGCTTGCGTGCCTCATCGAGTTCCGGGGCGTGCTTCGACGGCTCCGCAAGCGGCGGGTACGTCGCGCTCGACGTTGACTGGGTCGGGTCTCAAGCTCTCGATAGTGGGTCGACTGCTACTTTGAGCTCAAAGGCGGCGTCTTGAGGCAGTTTGCGCTCACGGGCGCCCCGGTGATTGACGGGCCGCAGCGCAACGCGCCCACCGACGTCTTGCCCATGGCCGGCGCGATTCTCATCCGCAACATTGATTCGTACCTCCGACAATATGGTGCATGATCATCATGGGACCGTGTAGCTATGGCATGGCCAACTGCTTCAAGATCACGTCGCGAGCCGAGCCGGACCGTCGCTACAAAGCTTCTCCGCTGAAGGCGTATACAAAGAAGATGCGCAAGGCGCCGTTCGAGGACGACGAGTGGGTTCTCTGCGCCAGCTCGACGCAAGACTGGGCCAAGTGGATCGACGCGCTGGATGCGTCGGCCGCCAAGGCGCTTCAGCGGACGTCGTCGCGCGCTCGGTCCATCGACCTCATGTCGGGCTCGCTTCTCTCATTGCGCGACACGCAGCGTAGGTTCATTTGGATGTCAGCCGATTTTAAAGGTCGACTAACTTGTCGTCTAGTCGATGAGCTCGAACTCGTGCGGATGGACAGCTCGCTTATCGACGACGCCAAGCAAGAGCGGTACCGCCACCACATTCTCAAGGAAATTGTGCGCTCGGTTGGTGCCAGTTGCATATGATGACGGGCCCTTATGCTGCAGCTATAGGAGCAAAGCTACGTTGAATGCCTTGGCGAGTGCATCCGCGTGTTCGTGCAGCCACTCTTGCTTCGGCAGCTCGAAGGGCGGAAGCTCGAGACCGCCAAGCAGAGTCTCCAGCGCCGGCTGTCGCAGCTGTCGCACTCAAAGCTCCAGAAAACGTTTTCGCGCATGGGCTTGACCAAGCGGACGCAACTGCGCAACGGCAGTTCGAGCCTTGCGCGTGGCGACGCGGTGAAAACCCATTTGGATGCGACCATGGCCGTCTTCTTCACAAGGTAGTCCTCTCTTGACACGCGACAAATACCATGACTAGCTATGGATGTAGCATGGACCAGATCTTTACGCTCAACCAGCAGCTGCTCGACCACCTTGTGCGCCATTTGGCCGAGACGGATGATGCGCCCGTCCACCGTATCGTACGTTGTCGTCATGCGCGGATCGTGTCAAGTGTGATAATGAACTGTACTAGGGTGCCATCTTTAACGCGTATGCGTCGCTCTTTCAAATGTACTCGTCGTATGCGAGCTACCACGAAGCTGCGCTGGCTGCGATCGAGGTACAATGCTGGTGGTGTCGAGGTCGCAGTGACAAAACACGGTGCTAGTCGGACCACTTTGTGTCGATGCTCGCAGGTATCCAGCTGCACTTGGACGATGGCACGCTTCACCGCCTCCGCACGTACCTCAATATGCCCATGGAGCGCATTCCCAAGTACAAGGTGTTTCTGCAAGAGCTGTTGGCGTGCACGGACGCCAGTCACATGGACTTTGGCCCGCTCCTCTCGTCGATTGAGAAGGTCGACCATGTCGTGCAAGCGATCCAGGACAGCATCGCGTCGCGGGACGCCGCGCGCAAATTGCGCGAAGTCCAGCTGCAGTACGGCCTCCCGCTCCCCGACTCGACGTACGTCAAAGGCGGCTTTCTCCGCAAAGTGTGTCGCGGCACGGTCAAGACGTACCACGTTGTCCTCCTCGACCACGGTATTTCCTGATCTGATTTGCGTTGAAACAATACGAAATACGGCTTGGAGTAGCACTCTTGTATGCGCCGACGGGGCTCCTGGCCACGTACCAGAAGAAGCACAAGATGATCGAGCTCACGGGCGCGTCCGTCTCGATGCTGCAAGACGCACTGCCCGAGAGTGTGCGCCAGGCCGTCGTTGTCGATGGCGCGCCCCCCGTGACACACCGCAAGTGCGCTTGAAACAGTGTTTCGAAACTCGGTATCTGAACGTCCCTGCTAGTGCCTTTTACTTTCGGTCCAACCAAAAGTCGTTCATGCTCATCGCCGACTCGGAAGATGCGCAGACGAGCTGGGTCGATGCCATCCACGTAGAGTTTGCCATATATGAACTTTGAGGGCTGAAAATGATGGTAGGACGCGATCGCTAAGGTCGAAATGACGTACCGGCTCTCCAACACGTCGGACGAAGACGACAAGTCGAGCCCGCACCCGATGGACGTGTTCATGCGCAAGCCCATCAAGACGGGCTGGCTCCAAGTGCAGCTCGGCAAAAAAAAGTGGCGCAAGCAGTGGGTGACCGTCGACTACCAGCACTTTACGATCGGGCCGTCGCCCCAGACGAGCCCCGAGACGACGCTGGTCATCGCGTCTTGCGCCGCCGTGAGTGTCGCCGCCATCGCCACGCAATTCGAGATTCGTGGCGAACCCGTGATCACGGTACCCCTTTTGCAGTGCCGAGACAACCCCAGCCCTAACAAATCGGATGCTAGAGTTTGACCGAGGCGGCAGCGACATTCACCTTTGTGCTGGACGCAGGCCTGGACCGCGACGAGTGGCTCCGTGCGCTCACGCATTGCATTCGCAGCAGCGCGTACGAAGACGCCACCACGTGCCTCTCGGCCGTCTCGGAGCCAGCGCTGCATCACTTTGCGCCGGTGTTTCAGTTTCACAATACGTCCAAGGTACCAAGGTCGCCTCTTGACAGTGCTTGGTTGAACATTTGGTAGAAATGCATGCTCTGCGGCAGTAGCTTTACGCTCTACCGGCTCCGGCACCACTGCAAGTACGATACCGCGTATTGTATGCTTCACCAACGTTGTGGCGCTAGAAACTGTGGGACGCTTGTCTGCGGCAGCTGCTCCAAAGCACGGATGGTCCTGAGCCACGATCTGCACCGTGCTGTTCGGGTTTGCGACCACTGCGTCGACGAGCACACGTCCGACTTTTGAGAAATCGATTCATGTTGATGTCGTTGAAATATGCAATTACTCAGTAGCTATAGTTGGGTGGACTGTACCCCAACGCGTTGACGGCCGTGACGCGCGCGTAGAAGGGCGTGCCTGCCTCGACGTCACTCACCGTGTAGGCTCGAACGCTGTAGCGGTAGATGGGTAGCGCCTGCCCGGTGAAGGCCGGACAGGCCAGCGCGACGGTCACCGTCACTGTCGACGCCGTCACACTTGCCACCGAGTAGACGCAGCTGTAGCTGCCGATGCTAAAGACGTCATTGACGGCCAAGGTTGCGCGCAGATCGGCCGTCACACCGAGCGTCACGCCACTGAGCGTTTGCGCACAAGTGAGGCAGAACGGCTTGCGGGTCGTGCCGGGGGGCAAATTGAGTGCCAGCGCGGCGGCTTTGGCGCTGGCGTCGGTGGTTGTGAGCTGGCCCTGCGGCCGCAAGTACAGCGCATCGCATGCATTCAGTGTCGGTGTCGCGCGGCCGACGCCTTGGATCGGGTCCAAGCCAGGGCCGAAGAGCTTTTGCGAGACAGCGATCGCGCCCGTGAACGAGTTGCAGCCAGCGCTGAGCTGCGCCACAATCGTCGGTACGTCCCCAAGCGGCGTGGCCGTGAGCGCTGAGTAAAACGTAAACTCGTACATGTGGCCGAAGTTCCACGCCGCCGAGTTGTCGCCGTGCAGCGCCACCGTGACGCTGTCGAAGCCCGGCAGCGCGTTGATTTGCGTCTGAAGGTCGGCCGCGGCTATGTTCCAGTTGATGCACCCGACGACCGTGCTGCCAATCGCAAGTTGGAGCTGCTGGGTGAGCACCAGCGGCGGTGTCGCGGTCAGCGTGAGGTACTGCACCTCGGCGTTGTCGCCACACGTACTTCGGAACGTCGGCGTGTGGTCCCACTCGACAATGTAGTTGGAGACGGCGCTCCCGCCATAGCTGGTGGGCTCGTCCCAGTAGATGGCAAATGACGTGGCGGTTTGGCGAGCGATCGCTACGGTCGGCGGGCTCGACGGCGCCCGTGCCGACGGTGTCACGGCCGCAAGCGCCGTAGCAAACGCACCGTACCCGACGCTGTTGTACGCGGCAACGCGCACTGTGTAGGATGTGGCGGACGAGAGACCCGAGATCCACATCCAATGGGATGCGAGACCAATGCGGTGCTGGGGCAAACCTTTGGTAATTTCGGCAAAAATGATGGTGAGCCCACCCGTGACGGCCGTCGTTGCAAGCATCGGTATGTCCCCGAGCGACGAGTGGAATTGAAAGAGCACCGGACCCGGCGACGCACCCGCACAAATGGTCGCCTGCCCATTGGGGAATATCACGGAGACGCTGCCAAAGGCCATGCCAATGAGGGCCGCTTGCACGTCGCCGACCGTCGCCGTTGCTGAGATCGTGGTCGACGACGTGCCCATGTAGGTCAAGACGAACGAACCCGCGTTGCCCAAGCACTTGAGCGACTGGACTTCTTGCTGGGACCCAATCGAGGCGGTTGCCGAGACGCTCTGTGCCCCGTTGATGACCGACTGGATGCAGTTGGCACGCGCCAGGTCGGCGCAAATGAGCAAGTTGGACGCAGCGACTTCGAGTCGCGAGCCAAGCTGTGTTTGCAGCAGCGACATCTGTTGTGTTGCTTGGTTGCCCGGGTACATGGTCTGGTAGAACGTGATCATCCACGAAAACCCCTACGCATGCATTCCTATGAGCCAATGAAAGAGGCGCGAAGCGGTACATTGGGGCCAAGCACACGCGTGACGTCGACAGCGTCGATGGTGCAAAGAGCTTTCAACGCGGTTCGGAGGTCCGCTGCGGCAACGTCAAACGGTAGCTCGGGCGTGATTTGGCCGTCGAACGCCAAGTGAAATGTGCCGCCGAGGTAAGTGTAGGCACCGAGAGACGGCGCCGAGACGGACACGACTTGCACGTCGTATTGACCGACTGTGTCGGCGTACTTCACAACCTGGTTGACCTTGGCGCCACTGGGCGTGAACCATTCGACGTTGAACTCGGAGACGTTGACACCACCGGAATGGACCGGATCACTCCACTGCGCGAGGATCTCCGTGTCCGAAACAACGTCGATACGCAGGTTTTGCACCAACCCCGGCACCGAGTTGGCCGGCTGGAGCATCGACGGCGTCGGGATCGAAAAGACACCGCTGCCCGCCACGTTGTGGGCAGCGACGCGGGCGAAGACACCGAGGCCGTTGTTGAGGACGGGGAATGTCACGCGTGCGACAGGCGTCACGACAACGACCGGGTCCAAGACCGCTCGGAGGTTCACGGCGTTGGCGACAATGGCAAAGAGCGACGACGGCGTGTCACGAGTAAATGTGACGAGCCAGTCGTAGCCGTTCTGCGCAATTTCGCGCGTCACGTCGACCTTGCACGCGAGGGAAAGCGCTTCGATCGCAACTTTCACATCCGTCGCGGACGCCGACACGGGGATAGCAGCCGTCGTCTGGAGACGGTACAAGTTGACGTGCGGTCGCTGGAGCTTGCGCGTGACGGGCACGTTGGGTGTCGCCCCAACAAATGCTCCGCAGCCGTTGGTGCCGACGTGCAGCACTTGAAGCAGTGGCATTTCGCCTCGAACAGCGGTGCCCGTGAACGTCACCGTGTACACGACCACCGTCGGGTTCAGGTACAGCACACGCGAGACGCTCACTTGGTCGACGTTGGGCATCGTTTGGAGCTCCGCTGCGAGTGCGAGGCTATCGGTGACACCCGCCGCCGCCGACGTGCCCGACGCCCAGAGAAGACACCCGACGTCCATGTTGATGTTGGCATCTCCATTGCCACCAGCAATTGTCGTCGCCGTCACTGCGGCGCCGAGTTGGAGTCGAAAGCCGCCACTGCCAGGCGTAAAGTCTCCTGTCGTGGCTGAGATGGTGATCGTTTGGATGTCTTGCGTCGCATACGCAAGCGTGTCGGCGGTGAGACTGGACGCCGTTGCCGGATTGACGCTATCGCCCATGGGCAGCGCCGCAGCCGTCAAGCCAGTACAAGCGCAGTTGCCCGCACTGCATGGCGTGTAAACGCGTGCGATCTGCCCGTTAAAGGGGTCGCCGATGCGGAAGTAGTCTTGGCACCCGAGACGCGAGAGTGCATTTTGCGTCCCCGCCACGTCGTCCCAGACGCCGTTGAGTGTGTTGCCCGCCGCCTGCCCCACAATCAAGTTGGTAAAGGACCCGAGCGCCGTATCGAGGATGAACAACGGTGCTTCCACGATCGACGGGCCGGCAAAGACGGCAACCGCCCACGGATTGGTCGCCGAGCAAATCGGAACCGTGTTGGGTCCCCAGAGGATCTGGAGTGGCAAACCGGCGGCTGGCCCAAAGTTGGCGTAGCAGTTGTGCGCGACGGTAAACATCGTCGGCGTCGGGAACGTCAAGATCGTCATGGCACACGACGACACTTGCAGCTTCGTCCCAATGGCAAGCAGCGCGTTGCCCGTGAGACTTGCCGACATTGTCACGGTACTCGCCGTAAAGTCAAACGACGAGACAGTCGCACTAGGATACACGAGTGCAATCGTCGGGTCCAAGCACACGCGGAAGGTCAGCCCCGCAATTTGAACAAACTCGCCGCGACCCAAAAGCCGCGTCAGGTCGACAGGGACGAGCCCCTGCGTTGGGTCGGTCGGAATTTGAGTGATGAACGAAGTGCCGACCGCTAGGTTGAAGTAGCTGCCCACTTCAACCGAGAACACCCCATAGTAGTCGGCCATCGAGAGCGCAAACGTTGAAGTCACGGGGCCAATGCCCGCCGACGTGGTGATGCGCATGTACTTGGCCGATGGCGCCACCGTTGGCAGCGTCACCTGCGTCGAAAAGCCGACGTCGTAGGCATACTGTACAACATAGCCATCGACCACCGCGCCACCGGATCGTTCGACCTGATCAAACTGCACTTGGACTGACGTGGCACTGCGCGACCGCATGCTAACGCGGTTGAGGGCACTCGGGACACCAATCGGCGTGTACGGTTGTGTGGCGGCGCCATACATGCCGTAGCCGAGGTCGTTGGCGGCCATGACGCGCACATAGTAGGCGACGCCGGGCGTGAGGTTTGGGAGCACTGCCGACGTCTGTGACGCGGGTACGGTCGTCGACATGTAGTTCGACGGACGCACGCCCTGCGGGTTGTACGACACGACAATGTTGGGCAAGGTTCCCGTGAGACCGATGGTGTTGACGCGCAAGACGTTTGGAGCCGAGAGAGGTCCGAGCTGACTTAAGAACGAGACGGTCCACACGTATGCACCGAGCGTACCCGTGCGCGCAACCGAGAGCATGCCAACACTTGGCAAATTCTGCAGTGCGACTTGGAGCGACGTTGCCGACACGTCGTATGTCACAGGCTGCGTTCGAGCCTGCGTGTACATGACAGCATTTTGCACTGTCGTGCCTGCGTACGGCGTCGGAAGGTTGGCGGTCGTTGCAGGACCTTGGTTGAGGTAGTTGGTCGCATCGGCCAATGGGATCTGCGTACTGGAGAGCGTCCCAGTCGCTGCCACAAGGTACACGACGTTGTTGATCGCGACAAGGTCACCACGGTAGAGGTAGCTCGTTAGATCCACCGACGTAGTGACAAACGATTGTCCTTGCACGACACTGACGACGCCGGGAAGCGCCACTGAGACGGGCCCGAACCCCACCGTAAAGATGCCACCAGAGATGGTGCCCGTCGACGTCAGTACTTGCACCGTCTGGACACCAAACCACGGTGCGGCGACAGCTTTGGTAAACCACTCGACCAAGTAGCCGGATAGGCCTGCACCCGAGGACGTTGGTGGCGTCCATGTCACCAAAAGCGACGTGCCGGTCGTATCGGCACCAGCACTCAGCACAATATTCGGCACTGCAAGTGGCTTCTGGTGGGGTGTCGTTGTTGCTGGTAACGTCGCCACGGGTTCACCGGCGCCGAGCTGGTTGTTGGCGCAGTACATGCGTACGTAATACGTTGTGCCCATGGTGAGCCCCGTGATAGCCATTTGATTACCAGCCGCGTTGGTTCCGGCTATCGTAGTGGCGCCCAATGGAGCCCCCGATGCGCCGCTATTGAACGACGCGGCGGGATCCCACTCGATGGTGCAACTGATGATCGGAGCGCCCCCGGAAAACGCCGGTGGCAAGTACGAGACTTGGAGCGACGTCGGTCCCGTCATATACAGCGCCGGCGCCGCCAATGTATTGTAGAGCGACGTCGGTCGACCCGGTAGCGCATATGGCACCATGAGCGATGCCGGCGCGGTCGCTCGCACCAAACCATAGCCCAGCGCCGTGTATGCCGAGACGCGGGCATGATAGACAACCCCGGCCGTGAGTCCTTGAATCATGTGCGTGATGGGATACGTCGTCGTCGGCGTGACTGTCACGATGTCACACACGTTGGTGTTGCAGTATGCCCCTGCAACGATGGCACCGACCGTCGTTTGGGTCACGGTGATCGACGCCACGCCCCCGACAGCCGTGAGCGCATTTGTCACTGTCAGCGCGGGAATCGGTCCGACGTCTGACAAAAACGTGATGGTCCATGCCCGCTCGTTATTGGCCGTGGGCGCCGACACGGCGACTTGCACGCCTCCGATGTTGGGCATGTTTTGTAGCAGTCGTGTTAGCGTCGGGACGTCGGCATTGAAGGGAATCATAGATGACACGGCCGCCGCCTTGACGTGACACAACGTACATGCCGTCGTGTCGAGGGCGAGCGCAAAGCCTCCGGAGAGTTGACCACTCGACGACACCGTCGCTATCGTCTGGACGTGCTGGGTGTAGCCTGTCCACGGCGCCGTGCTCCACTCGACCAGGTACTGCGTCACGGTACTACCTCCGATACCATAGACGTCGGTCGCAAGCGTCGTGGACGGTGGCATCCATGAAACAACAAGTGAGCTCACAAGGCTCGCAGGAGTTGCCGATGAAGGTTGCGGCAGCAGCTGAATGTTGCTTGGTGGATCACTCGTTGCAATTGGGGCGACGGTTGCAAAGGCGCTGGGGACGCCTTTTCCGAGCGAGTTAAAGGCCGTTGCACGCAAGTAATACGTGCTGCCCATCGTTAGCGAGCTGATCGTTGCCGTGTACCAGTCGTTTTCGGCCAGCGCATACGTTTGACTAGTAAAGTCGGCGCAACTATAGCCGGGCGCAACGGTCACGACGGGCGCGGCGACCGAGACGACTTGCACTTGGCAGTTGAGACTGCCAGCTCCGATCACGAGCCGCGCTCCGACGGCGACTTGACTGGCAAAACCACTAGAAAGAGCGAGCACGTTGGTTTGCAGCGAGGTCGCACACGTGGGACAAGTGGCCGTTGAGCTCGACAGCGACGTTGGGCCGGATGGTGTCACCGTCAAGCTGCTCGCAGCGGGGGACGAGAACGTCGATGTCAAGTCCCACTCCACCATGAAGCTTGAGATGGCTTCCGGGCCGTGCCAGTACGCACTGTCACGCACGGCGACCACCAACGATGTTGACGAGAACCCATTGCCGTTGCCGACTCCCGAGACGAGTTGCATCGGCAAGACCAGAGTCGGCTGCGCAGGCAGTTGTCGGCTCACGATAGCATTGCCCCCTGGGCTTGCCGTGCATGAGATCAGAGTCGGGTCGCACGTTGGCGTCGCCGCCGCTGGAGTCCCAATGCCAAAGACGCTCCACGATCGCATGCGCAGTGTATACGCCGTATTGGGAACGATCGAGATCAGCGAGGTGAACGGGTTGCTGAGCGACGACGTCGGCACCACCGTGTAGCCGCCGCCGGCACCGTTGACGAGCGTCATAAAGATTGAGGACGCGGAAAAGCCTGCGCATCCGTGGTTGGGCTGGACGGTCATGGTGCCGGTGTTGGTTCCCGCGTTCCAGATTTGGGCCGCGTTGACAATCATGAGACACGGGGGCGATGCAGTAGTCGCCAACTGAAAGAGCGTTCCTGCCGTCAGTGTCACTTGAGCATTCATTGTCAGCGTGACGCCCGAGAGCGCAGTGACGCAACCGCCGCAGACGTCACTTGTCACAAAGGCAGTCGTCGAGAACTCGATCATGTACGACAAAATCGGTGCGCCGTTCGTGGTGCTAGGTGGACCCCATGTAAGTCGCAGTGCCGTACGATCGGCAGCATTTGCAAAGACAAGGACACTTGTCGGTGGCGGTGGCTTGCTCCCCGAATAAATGCTTCCATCGGTAGGACAACCACCAGGGCACAGCGTCGGGGCTGCCACTTGCGCCGGGCTTGTCCCTGCTGAGTTGGTAGCCGCGACTCGCACGTAATAGGGCGCGCCAGATGTCAAGAACCCACCATCGATCAACGTTGACGTCCATACGTTGCCACCGGCCAAGACCGTGCAGCCTCCCGACCCGTCGTATGCCACCGGTAGCAGTTGCGGCACGTTGCCAGCAACCAGCGGCCCGGTGAACGTGACGCGGAGCTGTGTGGTGCCTACAGCGGCCCCCGGCTGACTTGATACAGTGACCACGTCGATGTTAGCGAGCGTCATAATGGCCGCCCCGAGCGCCGTCGCGGTAGCCGTTGCAGTGATGCAGCTTGTCGTTGGTTTGGCGTGCAGACTGTAAGTGCCTGTCGTGAGGCTGCACGTGGCGCCAGCAACAACGTTGACCACGTTGGCCGTCGGCGTTGCCGTTGCTGCAACGACAAACGCGCACGCGGCCCCGAGCTTATCAACCACGAATTTCACATTGGCACCAAGTTTCGGTCGCAGGTCCGGGCCATTGTACGTGATTTGGGTGCCCGTGATGGTAATCGTGCACGCAGCGCAGAGAAGCGTCGAGTAGTCCGCGTCATAGACGAGTTGGTACGAGCCGCTGGTGGCCGAAATCGATATCGTCTGGACTTCGGCGCCGAGAGGATACGAGCACGGTGTCAAGGCGCACGACTGAACAGACCCATCACCTTTGTACATGCTCATGGGGTACCGTGTCGGGCTATTGAACTGGACGTTGTTGGCAACGTCTACTTGGTACTCGGCGATGACGGCGCCGCCGTCACCCTCAAGGAATCCGAGCGCGTTCACCGTAGGCTCCATGAACACGACACTGAGTTGGCTCGCAATATTCACGGGGCTCACGTACACGGCCACGCTCTGCGGCAGGTACGGAATCTGAACCGTCGGAACGACAGGCACGCCCGCAGCAACGACAGCGCCGCTGTAGCCTTTGTTGGACGCCGCAAGCTGTCCGTTGTACGCCGAGACACGGACGTAGTAGGTCGTGTCCGTTGTTAGCCCAATGATTTGGTAGTTCGTGGTCGGAGCCGCGACGACAGCAACCGTGCCATGCACCGTGCCAAACGACGACCCCGACTGGACGCAGTTGAGAAACTGGTACGTTGTATCCCACTCGACCAAGTACTTATTGACGCCAACGACGTACTGCGGCGGCTGCCACTGTACACCGAGCGACGTGCTCGACACGACAGTTGCCGTCACTTGGCGAGGAAGGTCGGAGCGCCGCAGCGACGGCTGGATCCACATGGGCAGCGGGTACACCCCTGGAATGACGTCGGTTGCTGTGAAATCCGAGTTGGCCAGCGTCCCCGCCGACACGGCGACGGTAAGTGCCCCGAGCGCACTTGGTGCAACGTTGCTGATCGACGACGATGCAAACGTGATGAACCATTCGACGCGAAACGCCGCCGTGTTGATGCCAGACGTATCCAGCGTCACGCCCGTGGGGCCACTCGAGTGATCGCTTCGCGTGACAAAGACGGTGCCCACTGGCACGAGAGCTTGCAGCGCGGTTTGAATCTGGCTCGCACCGGCGTTAAACGGCACGGCCACCGAGAGGGCCGTCGGAAAATTCGCAAAGCTGAGTGTAAACGTCTGCGGGGTCGCCAAAATCGCATTGATGTTGGTGTTGGAAACAACGAGCCGCGTGACCCGATCGTTGACATACCTTGGCACGGCCGACGTCGGCGCACTGAACCCGGCAGCGTTGGTCGCCAAAACGCGAACGTAGTATTGGCTTGACGCTACGACGCCTGAGATGACGTACACGTATTTTCGTTGACCAGCCACCGCCGGCACGGAAGCCGACCCAGAGGTTGGGCTGCTCATGCCAAACGAGACTGTCGTGTCCCATTGCACTTTGTAGTTGACAACTGAGGCGTCGAGCGGGGCTGTCCAAGAGACGCTGATTTGGGTGTCGGAGAGAATCGATGCGACGGCTCGAGGCACCGGCGACGGCGGCACAAGCTGCGGTGCGACTGCAAATGGATACACAAAAGGTGTGCTTGTGCCAAACGCTGTCACGGTCTGAAGCCGCACAAAGTACGCATGGCTGCCAACCATGCCCGGTAGCGCCACCGACGACGGAAGTCCGCCAGCGACAACTTGCTGCGTTGCGACACAAGGCGAAGTGCCCGATAGCGAGCCGCCACACGCAAGGGACCGAGGCACGAGACCTAGTGTCGTCGCCACAAGCAAGAGAGGTACGTTGCCGTCGGACGCGCTAAAGGTCACGAGCCACTTGGTACCATACTGGGGTCGCGACGTCGTTGCATCCGATACGACCGTCTCGGACGTCACCGAGACCGTAGAAATGGACGTCAACCCTTGCAGTGCCTGGGCCACCACGCTGCTGGACGCTGTGACTGGAATGTTGACGGTCGTTTGGCCGCAAAAGACCAAATTGAAGTAGCCGCCAAGGTCGGCGTTGCCAGCGTACGCGACGACCGACTGGATCTCGGGAACAGGTCCAACCAGCGTGGTAGATTTCGTCGAAAATGGAGCAAACGACCCCGGAGTAACTTCGGTCACGGTCAATGCAACGTTAGCGCCTTGTAGTCCAGTCGCCGACGCCAGCAGCAGTGGAAGATTGCCAGAGGTGCCGTTGAATGTCACGGTCCACGTATTCCCAAAGCCATTGCTTGGAGCTCTAGTTACAACCGCACCTTGCACCGTCGGGAGAGCGTTGAGCGCGTCCGCGACCAAACTGGCTGTACTGTTAGACGATAGAGCCGATGTACTGTAGCTCTTGAACGACAGTGAGAACGTCCCAGCAAGAGCGCTGGTGCCAGAAAGAACGATGCGTTGGACCTCGGGCATCCCAGGTGTCGTATCGACATCCACAATGTACGACGAGATGGGGATGCCACCCGTGTTTAGCGGCGGTGTCCACGACACCAGCAGGGAGGTGCTGGACGCTGGTTCGACGACGATGTTTGTTGGTGCATCGGGCGTCGACGCCACGGCGAGCGCCGGTGGTGTTGCATACATGGTGGCCCCAAACGTATTTTGAAATCCATTCCAAGCTGAGACGCGCACAAAGTACGACGCCCCCCGGCGAACGTTGGCAATCGCGTACGAGACGACCGACTGCCCTTGCACAATGGGCACAACCGCGGAGCCGTAGAGAGCACTGCTCATCGTGGGCAACGTGCCTGGCTTGGGGAGCACTTGGAACGAAATCGTTGCCGTCGGGATGGTGCTCGAGAGCGCGTTCGTACTTGGCGACAGCAGCGGCTGACTGCCCAATTGCGTTGAAAACACGACTACCCAAGCGTAGCCGAGACCACCCGCATACCGCGAGACCCACAGATCGCCCGTGTTGCCAAGACCAAGCAGTGCACTTTGAACCGCCGTGGCACTGGCGTCGACAGGTAGCGCGACAGTCGTTTGGCTGTTGAACGTCAGCGTAAACGAGCCCTGCAGTGTACCCGCATTGGTCGAGAGCACGAGCGTCTGCTGGTCGTAGCCATTGTAGGCCGAGATCGACGTTGTGATTGTGAGCTGCGCGTTCGTGCCCGTGAGGAGCGACGTGGCAATCGCGGTTTTTGACGCCGCAAAGTTGACGTTCGTGTCGGACGCGTCAATCGAGCCCAACAGCAGCGGAATGTCCCCGTTGCGCAGCGCGTTTTCTCGGTTTGTAAGGAACGTCACGAGCCACTGGAAGCCGTTGCCGACGGTACTTCGAGACACAGCGACGACGCCAATCGAATCGAGTGCCTGCAGCGCTGCTTGGAGATCGTTGGCTGACACACTGTACGCGAGCCACGGCGTGACGTGGTTGGCAAACGCGAGGCGAAATTGCCCGTTCAAATTGAACGCCGACGCCGATACGATGATGCTCTGGACGGCGCGCGTCATGTAGAGCAAGCTGGAGGTCGCCAGCCCCGGCGTGGCGTCGACCGCTTCTTGGCTCATGCAATCCCACTCGACTTTATACGCTGTCACGAGCGCCCCACCGTTGTCGTGTAGTGTGCTAAAGTTGACAACGATCGAGTTGTTGGCGCCGCCACCGAGCGTGATTCGTGTCGGCGGCGATGGAAACGACATGGGCACCGTCGCTGCTGGCATCGGCACGCCGGCGTTGTCCGAGTACCCGTACGCGTTGTAAGCGTACACTCGGACGTAGTAGGGTGTGCCTTTGACAAGGTTCCCAATGCCCATTTGACACGGACTGAGGAGGCAATCGACGCCTGGCAGCACGACCGACGACATGTCGTAGCCGAGCGCACCGCCGTCGACGCCACTGGTGAACATCGGCGACGTGTCCCACTCGATGCGGTACTTGGTAATGGCGTTGCCGCCGCTGCTCGCGGGCTGGTTCCAGTACACGACGAGCGTTGAGGCTGCAACCGGTGCCACACGAACGTTTAGAGGAGCATCGGGGGCTTGTTGCGGCGGGTACGCGGCCGTCGACGCCGTCGGAACGCCGTACCCCTGGCCGTTGTAGACCGAGACTTGCGCAACATACGAAGTCCCCGGCACCAAGTTGGTCAAGAGGTAGTTGAACGGAGGCGGTGCAAGGCCTGCCGCGCTGACCTCAATGCTCTGGAGACTCTGCGGTGGCATGCCAGGTGTCGTGTAGCCAATGACAGCTGCCAGTCCCGTCGCCGTGGCGCCAGTGTACGGCACCGTGAGCGTTACCTGGTTGGTTTGGACGCTTGCGACGAGGTAGACAGTCCCAGCAATCGAAATGCCTTGCCCGATCGACGCCGATGTCTGGATGCCCACGGAAGTCACGACCACTGAGTTTTGAATGACGTCGACGTTGATTGACGTCGCACCGACGTGCGCCGGGTTCAAGTTGGCGCCAATGTCAATCACGAGGTTGGGCGACTGCAAATCGTGCGTGAGCGGGATCGACAGCACCTTCCCGCGCGGGTACTCGCTCAGAAACGTGATCGTCCACGCGTACCCACCGCTCGTGCTCGGGGACCGGACGACTTGGATCGACCGAAGGCTCTTCAAGCTGCTCAAGCTTGCCGCCATGGCCGCTGCGCTGGCCGAGACGGGCAAAAAGTCCGTTGTCGCTTGGTCGTACGTGATCTGGAACGAGCCTGTGACGGCCACACTGTTGGAGTCGAAGATGCTGATCATCTGAACCTCTGGAATACCAGGCGACGCGGCTTGGTACCACTCGAGAAGATACTTGGTCACGTCGCTACCTTCGGCGTTGGGCGACGGCAGCCAAGCAAGCTCGAGCGACGAGCATGCGTCTTGAACGCTGTGGAAACCATCGGCCATGACGGCGCTCAGTGTGACCCCACTCGCGATGGGAATGGCGTCCGCTTTGGTCATCGGAATTGCGGAAAGTGGTGCGCCCACGGGAACGCTGGGCCCCATGACATTGATGGCGCGCACTCGGACATAGTACAACGTGCCGGGCGTCAAGGACGAGATCGTGTGCTTGAACATCGTCGACGACGGGTACTCTGTGAGGAATGAGGCTGGGGTTTGCGTGAACGACATATTCTGGACGCTAAAGTTGGCCGCTACATCCCATTCGACGAGATACGACGTCACGATCGCGCCGTTGACCGCAGCGGGCGGCCCCCAAAAGACGCGCAGGCTCGAGCTGGAGCCAGCAACAAGGTTCAAAACCACAGAGGTCGGGGCGCTCGGTACGGCCATTGGCTTGAGCGTCGTCACCACCGACGGCAAACCATACCCAGCGCTCGTGTGAGCCGAAACACGAACGTTGAAACCACCGGTGGCACCACCGTCACCCGGAAAGGCCGGTGCCGTGACGCCCGCTGCTTGCACGAGCCCAGTTATCGTGTACGTGTAGGGAGCGAAGGGTGCCACGACCAGCGACACACCCGTGCTTGAAAGTGGCACAGGCATGGTCCCAACAACGCTGTCAGCAATGGCGCAAGTGAGAGCTACGACACCGGCAGGGGTTCCCGTGACAGTCGTCGTCGCACCGGCACAAATGACGGCGGCGGTCGACCCGAGAAGCAACGTTCCGTCGACCACGAGCGGGGCCACGACGCCGAATTGCGTCACAAACGTGATCGTATACGTGTACGCTTGGCCCGTCACTGTGTACGAGACGGCAACGTGGCCAGCGCCAGGGAGAGCTTCAAGCGCCGCCGCTACGTCCGAGTACAGTGCGTTCCACGCAAGTGGGCCCGTGGTCCCAGCGCCGTTGCTGAGTGTAAACGAGCCGCCAGTGACGGCGAGTGCTAGCTTGAGCGTCTGTTGCGCCAAAACGCCTGCCGGCGATGGAGGCCACCACTCGACGAGGTACCGATCAACGACAGCACCACCGTCATTGGCAGGTGGTGAGAACGTGACAAGTAAGGACTGCGCGCCTGCAATGCTTAGCACGGGCGACAGCGGTGGTGTGGGAAGAATGCCATACGGAGCAACTGCGAACGGGCTTGCCTTGATCGGTGCGTCCGGGTAAAAGAGGCGCTCGGAAGGCACGACGCTCCAATCTTGGGACGGACTCGACCACGACAAGATGCACGCCGCGGTTCCCGTGTTTTCTCGGTACTCGAGCACAATATCGTAGAGCCGCCCGGCCACAAGTGCTGTCGTGTTGGAAACGTACGTAGTCGTCGAGCTCACGTCAATGTCGTAGGCATCGAGCACCAAGACGTGGTTGACCCACAGCCGCGCACCGTCGTCGACTTGAACGCTGAATGTGTACGGCTCCGAGAAGGCTGGTTGGAGATAGCCTGCCCAGCGCACGCTCACATAATCTTGGCCCGTCGGCGTAATGAACGTGTCCCAATAAAAGTTGACGTCAGCATCAATGCGCTCGAGCACCGGGTCGCCGAGGAGCCACCGGTTGTTGAAGTACGAGCCCACAAGACCGTTCGGGAACGCGTGTATGACATCCAAATTGTACGTCCCAGTGCGTGGCGTCGTGTACGTGGCCAGGTACTGCCCCGGCGCCGCATACGAGGCATAGCCCGTGACGGTGGCCCCACCGCGAAGCCGGGGCACAAAATACTCGCCCTGTTGACCATATTGACTGGGTGTCGCACCTTGCACCGACGAAGGGCACGTAGGCGCGACCGAGATGGAGACCTGTGCACCAGTGAGCAGCTGGCCTTCGGCGTACAGGAGATCGAGGTTGCCGTCAATCGCAAGCAGCGTAATGGTCCACGTGAAGCCGTTGTTGGCCCCCGCCACGGGCGAAGTGACTTGGACAGCGTAAATGTCAGGCAACTGCTGCAGCGCCGACGTGAGTGCAGCCGACGAAATTGAAAACAAAAGGTCCGGCGTCCGTGCTCCATGAAACGAGATGAAAAACGTGCCCCCGATCGGCGACGATGCCGTTGTGTGCAGCTGTTGCGTGTAGTTGGTAGTACATGCCGTCACGACGACAGACGCCGTGCCAATACCGTTCGAGGTACTGAGCGCGCTACTGTCAGCTGCGATCGAAGGTACGTCACCGAGGTTCGAGTCGAACGTGACGACATATGTGTACCCCATGAGCGAGTGCACGTACAAGTTGGTGGTTCCGCTTGTGGGGCCAGAGTACGGCGACGACAAGAGCAGAGTCGTTGTTGTGACTTGGTCAACCGTGTACACGGGACCCGACGTACTCTGCAGGCGCACCCAGTCGCCAGCATTAACAGTGCCGACCAAGGAGACCGACGTTGTGATCGTCTGCGAAAGATACGTGGCCGACACGGTGCGCAAGAACGTCGTCGCACTCGTCGTGCTGACTTGGACCAAACCGATGGTGGGAAGAGCATTCAGGGCCGCTTGAACCGTTGCGATACCCGCTTTCCACGCCAGTGCCGTCGTTGTCGCACCTTGGAACGTCAGTGTGAACGTGCCCTGGAGCGACCCGAGTCCATTCCCGCTCTGAATCATCGTCTCGACGATTTGGACTTCGCGCATCGGGTTGCGCTGCGTTATCAAATTGCCATACACATCGCGCGGCTGAATGAAAAACGTTGACGGTGTGCTATACGCCCCCGTCACGAGACCGTTCAAGCCCGCAGTGTTGAGCGTGCCCGGCCAAAACGGCACGGCGCTGCTGGTGGCAGTTGTTTGAGCGGCGACCAAGGCACCCGGCACAATCTGCGGCGCGAAGGGACTCGTGCCTTGAACGGGGCTGTTGCCATTGGGCGATGCCAATGTCGCTGCGTAGACACCGACGGACGCTGGGGTGCCTCCTGTGAACGGCGTCGTGACGGTTGCAGCGAGCGCCGCCATGTCGCCCAGCATGCGCGTCGAGACGAGGTACTGCTGGGTGGCATAGCGTGCGGACGACCAGTACGTTGTCTGCGCCGAGCCGGGAAGGCTGGCCATAAATGTAACAAGCCATTCGGTGCCCTGCGGGTTGGCGACCGACGACGTCACGACGACTTGAACAGTAGCATCCACAAGGAGACCATTCAAGGCTGTCTGCACCGCGCTGGCGGGGGCGTTGTATGCAAGTGGCGGCGTTGTGAGTCCGTTCCACGTCAGTGTAAAGGCGCCACCGGTGACAACACCGGTACCGCCGTCGACACGGACAACTTGGACCTCGTTGACCATCGGCTGCCCCATATTGGTGGACGTCTTGATGTGCGCCATAGTACCTTGCTGCAGCGTCGCCATCGTGGCCGTGCCCACCAGCAAGTCGGATGTCACCAGCAGCTGCACTTGGTCGCCAACAAACTCTGTAAAGGTGATTGTGTGCAGGAAACCATTGTTGCTTGCCGTCGTCGTCACATTGACGTTGGCGCCGAGAACCGCGTTGAGAGCCACTTGCACCTGGGCGCCTGTGGCGTCCCACGCCAACGACACCGTTGTCGCCGTCGCGGAAGACAATGTGTACGAGCCGCCGCGGTTGATCGCAGTCGGGAAGCTGACGGCGAGCGTTTGTACTTCAGGGAGCACCGACATGGCCACGGCGAGTGTCGACGTGCCAGACATCAGCGGTGTGTATGTCACGTTGTACAGGCCGCTGCCGGCGTAGACCACCGTGCCCGAGACGTGGGCCGAGTCGGCGTACCTCACACCCGCAGGGAAGACGTCGACTTGAAAGTACTCGAGCCGATCCAAGTCTTCCTTGTTGTTGCCATGCGTGTCTTTGGCTTGGATGGAGAAGAAGCTAGGTACGCCTGCCGTGCCTTGGATGAGGCCCGGGCCCAACGCTGTCGTGACGGCGGGGTTGGTCGGCCCCGGTTGCACGCTGAGTGTTGTCGGAAAACCCCGCACGCGTTGCATTGGCGCACCGGCGCGCAGTCGGGCGATAGCCACCGAGGCGGCATTGCCCGTTAGCGTCGAGGCAAACGCCGGCGTAAGCAGCTGCAGCTGGCCTTCAGTGGGCGACCGCGTAAACGTAATCGTCCACGTACACCCAAGTGCCGCATTCCCGCTGGTGCAGACGGCGGGCGACACAGTGACACTACCGACGGGGATATTGCTACACGATTGTAGCGCTGTTGTCAATGTCGCTGCGTCGGCGTTGTACGGGATCGGTGTCGTCGTCGCATTTGTCAGAACGCCACTGGCCAAACCGGAAAACATGAGCGTAAACGTCCCACCCAAAGTACTTGTCGACGCCGTCGTCACGGTTTGCACTTCGCTGACCGGCGGCACAAAGGCATCCAGTGTGTAGTTGCCCTTGACGAGCGGTACAAAATTCACACGGTACGTGCCGGTACTCGCCCCCGCCTTGTAGACGGGCACCAACTCTCCGTCCAAACCGTTGTACGCTTTGGCCAGCGGCACCGTCGTTGCACCAAATGTGCCAAAGATCGTATCCACTGTGTGGATCTCGCGCCCAACGACAATCGTGTCCCCGCGCTGCAACGGCATGTCACTGGGCACATTTCGAAAGTCGGCCGATGTCGCTGTCAAGACCATCGCGCCGTGCTGCACCGAGGCTGTCCCGAGATACCGCCACGTTTGGGGCACGAGTGACGATAGGCCAAATGCGCCCGTCGCAAACGCACTGCAGCCGTGGTTGGGCACCACCGTGACGGTAGCAGACCCGAGGCTAAACGCAGATGTTGACTGCACTGTAAAGAAACAGTCGGTTGCCAAAGTGGGTGTGGTTGTGCCAGGGTTGGCACCAATGACACGGAAGCGCATGCCTGGCAAGAGCTGGGCTAGCACGTCTTGGTTGACCGTGAGGACGTTAGCAGCCAGTGTGGTGACACAAGCCGGGCAAAGAAGCGACGGCGTCAGCTGTACTGGTACGTTGGCAGTGACTTCATTGATACGCCCGACGCCAGCCCACCCTGAGATACCAACCAGCGTTACCTGCAGGTTGTCGTTGCCGGTGTTGAGGCGTGGGTTCCCAGCGCTGTCGAACGTGACAATGTCGAACGTCACGGGGGCAAGCGCTTTGACGACCGAGTTGGCAACATACGTAGCAGAGCTCGAGCTTGTGTCGATGGCACCGGGATACACGACGACATTCAGCGGGCTTGCATCGATGTGACGTTGGTACGCCCATGCCGACGACGGGACCACGGCAAGCGGCTGCGTCGACGACGCCCATGCGACCATCAACTGCGATGTGGCCCCCGCGCTGTACATGATCTGCACACTCGAAAACGTGCCTTTGGTCAAAAGCACGGATGTTGTGAAGTTGCCACTCGCCGGCGAAGTGGCCTTGAGCACGACAGAGCCATTCAGCGACAACGTCACGTTGCCTTGCACAAGGACATTGATCGTGTACGTGTCGGTCGTCGGTGGTGTAAGCTCGCCAACCCAGACAACACTAAAGTTCTTGCCCGGAAAACTCGGATTGCCCATTCCGGTTGGCTGTGTCTCGCCCCAAATGAAGGCGATCGTCGCGTCGAGCCGTGTCATGTCGCACGGCGACAGGTTTGAGTTGGAGAGCCGCGTCATCGGGCACGGGTTGAGCTGTGCCTGCAAGAAGCGGCTGTCTCGAAAGTACGTGGCGCGAAGCCCTCCAAGTTGTCGGTACTGAATGCTCAGCACATAGTCGCCTGCGACTTGGGGCACGTACGACAACTGGTACGTGCCGTCGGTGTTGGGCGTCGGCTCGACGACGGCAACAGAGATGGCTGCCGACGCGCTAACAAGCGATGCCACGTAGCTCTGTGTCGACAGCGGCACGCTCCACTCGAGCGTGTTTAGGTACGCATCACGGCTCTGCACGACGATGACCTCCCGTACTCCTTGCGTTGCCGCCGCGCGCGCATTGTGCGTACAGTACGGGCCATTGGCAGGGCCGGTGACCACATTGATGTTGGCTGGGCTCAAGCTCGTACCACCGCCGATCGAAACACTCAGCGCGTAGGTGCCTTTGCGCGTCGGGAAGAATGTTGCTGTGTAGAGACCGTTGGCGACACCGACAAGCGACGCCAGTCCGCGCACAGTTTCGACGACGACCACCGAGGTGACGCCCGATCGAACGTTGACGACTTGCAGGACACTGGCCATCCCGATCGCATTAAACGTGACGACGATCGGTGCCGGCGACGTTGCGACACATACGGTAGCTTGCGGCCCCGTCACAGTGACACCTCCAAGTGCCGCAATGTCGGGCATCGCGCTCAGAAGCGTCGCCAGACCGGCGGGCGTGGTCGACGTCGGCACTGTTATCGTGCTGGATCCGTAGACGAGATCAAAGGATGTGCTGGCACCCGTACACGTGAGTGTCTGCTGCGCATAGTTGCTTATCGCCACCGCCATTGACGTGCTTGCAACGCCCGTGCGTTGCCGTCGGATGGAAATCATATTGGTCGAGGTACCCCAGACGAGCAGTGCAGTAGGCTGCGGCACGAGAAAAGTGACGCGGATCTCGATTCCGTTGAACGGGTGACACACCGTCGCCGTTGGTGACATGGGTGTCAACAACACGCCGCCCGTCACGAGGGCGCTGAGCTGTGTACCAAACGCCGCGAGGCTCGTGCTGGCGCCGACGGTGATCGTCGTGCCGCCAAACGTCAGTGTGAATGAGCTCGTGCCGGTGCAGTGGAGACTTTGCACTTCTTGGATGCCGGGATCGACGTAGGTCTGCGTTGCCGAGATGGCAATCGCGCTGAGATCGGAGAGCCCCGTGCGGTTGTTACCCGACGTGCCAGCGACCACTTTGACGACGTCTACATACGGCTTCCACTGCCCCGCGTCCGACACGACCAGGTTGGAACTGTCGGCTTGAAGCGACGGAACTCGGCCGACGTTGGCCGTAAACGTCACACTCCAAACGTACAAGATCTGCGGGATCGTGTTGCCGCCTTCGAGCGACACGTCGAGTGTATCCATGGAAACGATTGCGCCGTCAATGCTTTGAAACGTATTCAAAGCGCTTTGCACTACGCTCGCACCGGCGTTGAACGCAAGCGGCGGCGTCACTTCGCCCGCCATCGAGAGCGTGAACGTCCCCCACACGGGTGAGATGCCGCTGACACCACCGCCGGTGTCCTTTTCACTGGTGAGGGTCATCGTCGCGCCGCCCACGGGTGCGTACAAGAGCGCCGGTTGGTATCCAACGGCTTGGGTGAACTGGACGAAGACGCGGTTGGCCGTCGTTGCGCACACGGTCGTGACACTGCTACTTTCGCTCGTCACGGTCATCGCCGATCCCACGAGTGTCGACAAGGCCGTTTGAAACGCCGCCAAGGTGCTGCTAGCACTCACAGTGGTTGTCGCCGCGCCAAAGCCGACCGTAAAGGCCCCCGCCGTGGCAAGGTTGGCTGCCGTACACGTAAGCGTTTGGATCTCGGGGCGCATTGACGTTACGCCTTGCGTGAGTTGGCTCACAACGGCGCCTGCACCCGCCACCAAGTACGGCACCGGACCGGGAACGCTGGTAAACGTCACTTGGAAGGCTTGTCCGTTGGCCACGGAAGCTCCAGCCGCCGAGGTGATCGTGACACCACCGACACCGATCGTAGCCAAGGCCCCGAGACTCGATGCAAGAGCACTCCACGTGGTGCCTGCGGTTACCGACACGGTCGATGAGCCCCGAAACGAGAGCGTGAACGGCGTCGTCGTCACGGATACTTGCTGTACTGCAGGAACGTTGGCAACGACGACGGCTTGCAGTCGAATCGCTTGGACTTCTTGTCGACGAGCATCTTTGGCTTGGATTTGGAACGTAAACGGCGTACCCGCGACACTGGGCAGTGTCTCAATGGGGACGATCGAGGTTGCCGACGCCGGAAGCGGACGGGCGTACCAATTCCCTCCAGCGGCGACGGACGTTGTGCCGTCAACGACGGCGTTGGACACGGTAAGTAAGAAGGGACTGCCCATGATTGGGACGCCGTTGGCGAGGATGGTCATCGAGTAAACACCCGCAACCGTCATCGTGTAGCTCACCGGGTAGACACCCGCACTTGCCAGCGTCGAGACAGCCAGCGGATTCTGGTACAAGCTGCTTGCTACCGCAGGGTACTGGACGGCAAGCTTGGCCGTGGACCACGATGCCAGTTCCGACAGAAACGTAATGCTCCAAACGTTGTTGCCGCTTCCGTTTGTCGTCAACGTCACCGACACCTTGTTGCCGGGGCTCAAAAGCTCCAGTGCCGTCTTCATACCAATAGCGCTGATGGTCGACGGCAGTAACGCTGTGAGGCGTGGCGTCGCGAGTGCCACAAATATGCTGCTCGTAGCGCCCGAAAACGCTGCGCAACCGTGGTTACCAGCGACTGTGATACTACCGGCGGCAACCGCCGTGGGTGTCAAGACACAGCTTCCGACTGTAACGAGCGTGCCGACGCCCAGGAGACCGACGAGATTGGTCGTCACAGTGAGCGTCGTGCCTGCTAGCGTTGTAGCGCAGCCAGTGCAGAGACTCGTTGAGAACGACCCGTACGTGAGCTTGAACGACCCAGCTTGCGTGCTGCTGGCGGTGATGCGTTGCACAGCAGACGAGGTCACGATCGTCTCTGCGTCGGGCAACGTAGGGTCCGTCGGGGTCATGGTGACCAAGAAGGCGTCCGAGATACCGTCGCCAGTGCTACCCGAGTGCGCCGTTGTTGCACCGACGCGCAAGTTGCCAAATGCGTCCATGGCGTAGATGGAGAAGCCTGTCGGTATCGCCGACGTGGCGATGCTCAGTCCATTGGTGCCCACGTCGCGGGCATACGAACTCGGGGGATGCAGTACGTTGTGGACGACGACGAGCGACGACGGAATACCGATCGCGTTGCAACTGCCGCCAGGACACATGAGGATCGGGGACCCTTGAAAGGACGTCTGGAGCGTGTACGCCCCCGCGCGCGGAATACTCATTTGAACGCTGTACTTGCCGCCGCTGAGGTACGAGAGCACGCTGCTCCGGTAGCGCACCGTTGTGTCTGCCACGAGAATTGCTTTCGTGTCAAAGGCGTCGCCGCCGATGGACTGGAGGTTGCCGTACGTGTCCTTGGCCTGGATGGTGAAGTTGGACGCTTGGCCCGCCACCATTTCACTCAAACTGTCCATGCGCGGTGGGCTAAACCCCGTCGCTGTCGATGTGTACGGCACGGTCTTTCCCGGCGCCACGAGAACAGTGAACGGACTGCACTTGTTGGCGTACCCGAGGCCGCAGTAGATGTCAGTACCGCCAATAGCAATCGAGAGCTGGTACGAGCCGCTAAGCAGCGTCTTGTACTGCACTTGGTACTGACCGCTGCCGAGGTACGTGGGCGGCGCCGTCGGCGCGAGAGTGCTGCTGGTCCCAAGCAACGCCACGTCAAAGACGTCGCCGCCCACAGTTTTGTTGTTGCCCATTTGGTCCTTTGCTTGGATGACAAACGACGCGATCGTGCCCGCCGACGTTGCGCTCAGACCCGACCCAGTCGCTGTCGTGTACGGGTAGTCGGTCGCGCCCGGTAAAATGTTGACCGTATATGGGCTGCCGAGGATGTGACTGGGGTAGTACAGCACGCTCGGATCGATGACTTGCAGCGGAAGGTACGTACTGCTCCACTGCAGATTGATGTACGCGCTTCCTGTCGCCTTGTGGTACTCGAGTCGCACATCGCAAAAGACATTGGCTAACAGCGTGAATGGCACCGTCGCCGACGTCGGTGTCGACTCGAGCGCCCACGTGTCGAGCACGAGCGAATGGTTGAGCCAGAGACGAACGCCGTGGGACGCTTGGACGTTGAACAGGTACACATCCGTGGCTGGCGGAAGAAGCTTGCCCCACCAGCGAACACTGACATAGTCTTGGCCGTACGGTGTGATGGGTGTGTAACCCCACGCAAACTGCACGTTCGAATCGATTTTGACGGCGACGGGGTTGTCTTGGAGCCAATAGTTGTCATAGTACCATGACTGCAAACCTCCGCGAAGCAGCTGAAGGACCGCGAGGGAGTAGGTCGATGGCGTCGCTGGTGTGTACATGCCCGTGTAGCTCGGGCGTCCGGCCGTCTTCTTCTCGACGAGAAGTTTGGGATTGTTGCCAGTCAGTGCCTGCGTCGAGCCCGCTTGCATCTTGAGCACCGAGACCGAGGCAAAACTGCCCAGAAGCGGCGAAGAGTCGGCCACCAAAAGCGGGTTCTCACCGAGCTCCGTCCGGAACGTGACGTCCCACGAGTACTGACCGCCCGGTGTCAAGAGGTTGCTGCGCGTAACGTCGACGAGGCCCACGGACGGCAACGCCTGCAGAGCGGCCTGCAACGCTGCACCTGTAGCGTCAAACGCGATCAACGACGTTGTTTGGCCGTTGAACGTGAGTGTAAAGTTGCCGTGGAGCGGGGTTGGCACGCCGCCGAGCGTTTGGACGCGCTGGATCTGGTACTGAATCGGGAGTGCTTGCAGGAGTGGGAGGCTCCCGAGGTTTTTCGTAAACGAGATCGTCCACCGAAACCCGGTGCCGACGTTGGCGACTTGGACATCGACCTCGTGAATCGTCGCCATCGTCTCGAGCGCTGTTTTCATGGCGCTGGCCGACGCCGCGTACGGAATATTTGGTGTGGTCGCGCCGCCAAAGTTGACGACAAACGACCCAGTGAGAGGCGACGTGCCACGAACGACTTCGTTGACGTACACATTTGCACTCGTGCCGGTAAGCGCCATCGACGTCACTTGCAGCGCCTGCACGTTGCCGACAAGACTCGTAAACGTGATGAACCACGTTTTCAATCCTGACGAGCCGTTGGCGTCCGCCGACGCCGACGTAACGGTGACGGTGCCGAGGTTGGTGAGCGACTGAAGCGCAGTTGTCATGTCAGCCGCCGACGCCGCGACGGAAACGGCCACGCTCGGCGACCCCATGAACGCGACGTTAAAAGTACCGCCAATCGTTTTCACGGCGCCCGTTGCGTCCAGCCACGTGGTAAGACTTTGTACTTCCGAGACAAATGCTACGTCGCCGGACGCTGTGATTGTTTGAACTTCAGCGCGCCCTTGGACGACTTCAGTAAACACCATGGTTGCGCCCTGGGCTCCTGTAAACGCCACGTCCGAGCTCGAGAGACGTAGCAACGGCAGTGGCCCGAGGTTTGCGACAAAGGTGACGCTATACGTCCACGACGCTGCGCTGTTTGCGACACGAGAGACGACGACGGTGGCGACATTGGCCAGTCCTTCGACACACCCTTTGAGTGCAAATGCAGCGTTGACATCCGTGGCCGCGGCCAGCGTTGCAGCATTGAGCGTCACCGTCGATGTTGCGGCAACACCACCGAGCCGCGCCGACGACGTGTCCAATGCGACACTGAAGAGCCCCGTCGTCGCCGTAATCGTGATACTTTGCACTTCGAGGATACTCGGGTTGTACGTGGCGACGCCACCGTCGTTGACCCACGCGTGCGTCCCATCGAGCACCGACGACGGACTGGACCAAAGCTCGGTGAAAAACGTGTCGGTGCCCGCAAACCCGTTGGCCGCGTCAATGTCAGTGACAACTTGTCCGGACGCCTTTCTTGGAAGGATCGCAAAGTGGTTGGCGACACCGCGAATGTACTCGGCTACGATCGCCTTGGGGTTGGAGCTCACAAGCGACGGAACGTTGCCGAGGAGACTCCGAAATGTGATGAACCACACGACGTCGGCGGAGCCCACAAGGTTTTGCTTGGTCACGTGCACGGCGCCGACACCGACGGACGGTACCGTGAGCAGTTGGGTGAGAGCATACGCTGTTGTCGCGACATCGATATTGCCCGTTGGTGTTTGCGTGCCCAGCGTAAGTGTAAACGTGCCGGCCGCCAAGCTTGCAGTTGTGACAGTCTGCACCTCGTAAACCACACCAGCGATACCTTGCGAAAGCGCCGAACCCATGGCAGTCGTCGTGAGCGCACTCGCCCCGCCGCGTGCATCGATCGACGCTGTCGACAGACTTGCAATCGACTTGCCGGCGGCGTTGAGTGCCACCACCTGGAAGGCATACGACGTGTCCATCTGCAGATTCCGCGCCACAAAACTTGTGTTGCTCGGCGCTTGCGACCCGTCGTAAATGATCTGCCCCGGTGTACCGTCTTGGAGCGTCGTGACCAGGGCTGACGTCGCGCCACCGGTGAGGCGCCCGGTTGTGACAGTCATGGCTGGCAAATTCCCGAGCTCCGTCAAGAACGTGACGGTCCACGCGCTCGCGCCGTTCGCCCCCGTTGTCAGCACTACGTTGACGTGCGAGATGCTCGGTAGATTTTGCAGTTGCCGCGTCATTTCGGCGGCGCCAATGTTGTACGGTAGGTTCGGCGTTGCGTACCCGTTGAAGCGCACAGTAAAGTCGCCGCCAGCAACCGTCGTGCCAGGCGTCACCCGAGTTGCCGAGTATGTGTACGGCGTGTTGGCATTCGCGTTGACGAGCTGCTTTGGGTTGAGCGTCAGCAGCGTCACGGGGCCAGATGCACCGGTGTACGACACGGTCCACGTGATCCCCCCCGTCACCGTGGTCTGCGTGACAACGACAGACCCAATACCGGTACCTTGGATCTCGGTCTGGAGCACGGTGTTCCCGACGTTGTAGGGCAAGAGCGCCGTGTACTTGCTGTTGATGTAGAGCTGAAACGATCCCGTTGCCCCCGCGATAGTAAACGATTGGACTTCGATCGCCGGCGTCGGCACCGTAATCGCAATCTGCTGGATCTCGTTGACGACCGGTGTCGGCGACGACAAAAGCGCCGAATTGACACCGCTAAATTGCCACAAGAGGTACCCCGTGAGCGGCGACCCGTTGCACGACGTCGAGTTGGACGTGCACTGCGCCGGCGGTGACCACGAGAGACTAATGTACGACGACGCGACGTCGAGGATGACGGGCGCAGCAGGTGCCACCGGCGTGTTGGCCATGACGACGGTCAGCGCCGGACTCATTGCCGACGCTCCGATGGCGTTCACCGCGCGCACCGCAAAGCGGTACGTGTTGCCTTCGGTTAGCGCCGGCACAAACATGCTGAAGCCGTACGGAAACGTGTTTTGCAGCGTCTGGAGCACAAAGTTGTTGGTGCCCGCGTCCATGTACACTTGGTAGTCGGTGATGGGCGACCCGCCGTTGTCGGTCGGCGGGCGCCAGTTGATGTAAATGATCCCGTCGTTGGCCGCCGCCGTGTTGACAGTCGTGCGCGAGTCCAGCGTCGGGGCGACCGGAGCGATCGGTACGACCGGGTTGCGCACGATGTACGAAGCCGGGGAGCTGAACGGGCCAAAACAAGCCACGGTGGCGTCCGTCGGCTGGCAATACGTAATCGCACGCACGATCAACGTGTACTGGTGCCCCGACTCGATCAAGTTGTCGGTGGCCGTCGAGAGCGTATACTGCGTCGTGAGACTGTTTCGGCCGTCGTACACCCGTCGGTTGCTGCCCTGCCAATCCGAGAGCCAGAGTTCATAGCCCGTGACGGGGGATCCACCGTTCATCGTTGGTAGCGCCCACTGGACCGTCATCGTTGTGGCCGTCGACGAGACCAGTTGGATGGGCTCGGGTGCGCCCGGCTGCGTGCTTTGCGGTGTCATTTGTGGTGGTGTCGGGTACGCTCGATAGCCCTGGCTCACGCTGTTGTGAAACGACACTCTTGTATAGTACGGCGTGCCTGTCGTGAGCCCCGAAAGCAACATTTGGTACGGTGGGCCACCCGACAAGTTGGTGCTTACGCGCGAGCTTGCAGGGCCACGACCAGCCACAACTTCGGCGACAGTGACGGCGGCATTGTTCGTGACGCCTCCATAGAGCGTACCGGCAAACTGCGGCACGAGCGGCACGAGGTTGCCTGTGTTGCAGACAGACGTAACGAGATCGGGAAGGAGTCGGCACCCGTTGAACGAGACGAGCCACGTAAACCCCGTTGGAGTTTGCGTCCGTGTGACAGCAACGCGGCCAATGGACGCGACGTTCTGAAGTGCTGTCTGCAGCTCGAGTGCCGTCACGTACGGGCTCATGTTGATCGTGCAAAGCCCAAGGTAGCAGAGATTGAAGGTGCCGCGAACCGGCGACGATCCCACCGTGCTGGTTGCGATCACGGCTTGCGCTCCCGCCCCCGTGAGCGCCGTGGTGCTTGCAACAAAGAGCGGCATCGCACCGGCCCCGTACGGAAAGCTGCCCGGGTTGGACGTGAATGTGACGGACCACACGTAGCCATTCTGCAGTGTCGGGCCACTCCGGACAACGTTGACCGTGCCAATGTTGGGCAGCGCCGTCACACTTGCTTGTAACGTCGTATCCGACGCGTCAAATGGGATCCAAGTCGTGACATGGCCCATAAAGCTGAGAGTGAACGTGCCACCCAGCTGATTTCCACCGACGGACGGCGGCACCGACCCGATCGTCGCTCCGTTGGTGTAGACGACGATACTGGCACCGTTGCCGGTAAGCATCTTGTCAGCCCATTGCAGCGCTGGAACACTTCCACTGCCTTGAAACGTCACGCGCCAAAGAAGCTCGCCACGCGCCGTGCTGCCCGCTGGCAAAGCTGCCGACCCATCTGTGACCGTGATAGTGAGCCCCGAGTCCAATGCCTGGACGGCGCTTTGGACGGCTGCAGCGGTCGCGGTCGCGGGCAACTGCACTGTCGTGGACTGCATGCCTCGCAAATACAGGAGCTTGAACGACCCACCCGGCACGGCCTGGCCCTGCACGACTTCGACAACGTCAATGCGTCGGTTGCCAGTGAGCGCGAAGGTATTGCCTGTCATCGAAGGCAAATTCCCGGCGGCATTTTGAACTGTGGTGAACGTGACGGTGAAGCCGCCAGTGCAGCCCGTGATCGGACACGGCGCACAGGCTGTCGTTTGGCCACCGACAAAGGCTACCGACACAAGAGTAACGGTCGTGAGCTCCTGCAGCGTCGCCTTGATGTTAGCCGTTGATGTCTCGGACGCAGCGATCGGCGCCGTCGTCAGTCCCATGAACGTCAGCGTAAAGCTACCGCCGCTTGCGTCGCAGTTGACCCGTTGGACTTCGACGGCGGCCGGGGCTGCGTATGTGCTTGCAAGACGCACGAGCTGCACTTCGTTCACCACCGTTGCAGACGTCGTAATGGTTTGCACTGCATTCACGACGGGGACGTTCAACGTGACGGCTTGCACTTCATCGACAATCTGGGCCGTGTCCCAGTCAACTTGGTACGCATCGATGGGAGCGCCGCCGTCGCTCAGCGGCGGGTACAGCGTCATTTGTAGCGTCTGCTGGTCAATAATCGCGACCGAGACGTTTTGCGGAGACTGCGGCGGCTCTATCCCATTCCCAACAATGAAGAACACGAGATTGAAGCACACGACATACGTGCAGACGGGATTGCAAATGTCGGGAACGCCATCGCCGGTGCGCTGGTGCCCACTGCGTTGATGGCGCTGACACGAAAGTAGTACGGAATATTCGTGTCCAACTGCGACACGGCCACCGACAGCTGACTCAAATCGGTGAGGAAAACCGACCCGAACGGAACCCCTACGCCGTGTTGTTAGTACAATGCACAATATTGTCGTAAGGTCACACCATTGGCCACGTCTTTCGAGTTGAACGGCGGTGCTATGCCTTGCACCGCCTGCGCGACCGTGACGGTTGGCACCGTTCCCGTCAACGATGCAAAGTCGGCCGTGATCATCGGGAGGTTCCCGAGGTCGTATAAGAACGAGATTGTCCACGTGTATCCTTGGTTCGGGTCCATGTTCGACCGGACGACGTTGACGCCGTGGATCGTTGAGAGAAGCTCAAGCGCATTCTTCATGCCCGGCGCGTCAATGTTGAAGGGCAGGTACCCTGTTGATTGACCCTTGAATTGCAGCGAGAACGACCCGGCGAGCACGCTCGACGTGCCGAGTTGCACCGATGCAACCGTGAGCGTGTCGGTGCCCGCGGTCGCTGTCGCCCCGTACGCTCCGGACGTCCCGACATTGAGGAGTGGAAGATTGCCCGCGTTGGTGTTGAACGTGATCTGCCACGTGCAGGTCTGTTTCGCACCAGCCGTCGCGGTCACTGTGACGCTGCCAATGTTGGCGAGCTTCTGGAGCTCTGTTTGAATGATTTGAATCGTGCCGTCGCGAACCGTCGTCACGGCCACCGTATCGTCACCAAGCGTGGCGCTGCTGAGTGGCGCCTGACCGTTGACGACAACTGCGAGCGGCGCCAAGTTGCCCGGCATGTTGGTAAAGGTCACTTGCCATTGACACGCCTGTGTCGCAAGCTGCGCGACAGACGACACGACAATCGGGGCGCCCGTGAGTCGTTGTAGCTCCGACGTGATTGACGTTGCACCACCTGCGCAGTCGCCATTCTTGGCGTTGGCAAAGATTGGATTCGTGAGCGACGTGACACCAGCGTTCGACGTAAACGCGAGCTGAAACGAAGTGAGCGGGGACACCACGTTGTCGCCGCCCACCGCCGTCGTGTCGACCGTCGATGTCGTGATTTGCTGCACCTCGGTGAGCGTCGGCAAGCACGTGCCGTCGCCCATGGGGTTAGCTGGGATCGGCCCCGTCGTCGTCGTCGCGCCGTTGTAGACAAATTGGAGCTGAAACATGGTGTTGGTCGCAACGTTGGCACCGGTTGTCGACGACGCCAGACTCTGAATGGCCTGCACTGTGCCTGGACGCGTAATGACAACGTTGATCGCTTTCGACGACTGGCCATCGCTACGCGTCTCCGTGAGCCCCGTCGCTTGGTACGTGAACGCGGGGAGCGCGCCCGCAAGACTCAAGAACGAGACTGTCCACGTGTAGCCGCCTTGATAGTCGGGGCCGCTTCGAGTGACTTGGAGCGAGCCCGTGGCGACGGCTTGCAGCGCCGTCTGCATTTGGGTTACCGTGGCGGCCGCCGGCAGCGCCACAGTCGGCGATCCATTGTAGAGCAACACAAAGGTACCACCGAGCTGGTTGCCCCGTACGGTCGTGACCACGGTCGAGACGGCGCCGATAGCCGAGAATCGGGACGCTGTCGTCATCGTCGGAAGATCACCGGCGTTCATGTTGGAGAGGAACGTGATCGACCACGCATAGCCTAGCTGGTTGTCGGGCCCGGACCGCGTGACGCTCACAGTGCCGACCGTCGGAAGCGCCTGCAGTGCGGTTTGAACGTCTGCGGCGGCGGCGTTGTACGCAATGTTGGCGGTCGCACTGCCGCCAAACGTCAGTGTAAAGTACCCGTCGGCGATGACATTGCCCGGTGTCGGAGTTGTCACCTTGACGTCGGCGCCGGCACCAATGAGTGCCGAGCTTGCGACCGACAGCTGCGGCACGTTGCCCATGGCCGCAGCAAACGTGACAGACCATGAGTAGCCACCTTGCGCGTCGGCAGCCGACCGCGTCACGGCCGTGATGCCGGCGGCGCCGATGTTGGCCATGGCGCCGAGGATCTCCTTCACGCACGATCGGTCGCCGGTGGCTCCCGCCGTGTAGCCAATGACACCCGACAGTTGGATCGATCCACCCGAGCTCGTTGTGTCAAGCTGGAGCGTAAAGCCGCCACCGAGCGTCTGCCCTGGCGCCGCCGACGTCGTAATGACCTGGACTTCCTGCACAAGCGTGGCGGTGGTCGTGACGACCTGCACAGCATCGATGTCTTGGGCAGAGGTCGTGATCGTTTCCACTTGGTTGGGGCCCGTGAACGTGGACGTCGTGATGGTTTGCACCGCTTGAACACCAGGATTCGGGTCCCAGTCGACCTACAAAGGTGATGAGGTCCCAGCGTGTCGATGTGACACGGACCGCATAGGCAGAGATGCCAGAGCCGCCATCGGTGACAGGCGGCTGAAAGGCCACGAGCACCGTTTCTTCACTTTGTACAACCAGCTGGACGCTGGCAGGCGGCGATGGCACTAGTATCACCGTGACCAACGAGGTCGCGCTGGCAACGACGTACCTGTTTGGGCGAGGACGAGCCAGGCAGCGGTAGTAATCAGAAGCCAGAGGCAGCGGGCTTGGGCGCGGAAGCGCCATGGGACCACCATCGAGGGTCTCGACAACCCACGGATTCTAGTGCACTGCCAAGCGTCGTCGATCTTTCGTGGCTACAGCGCTTTGATTGGTCCAAACTAAAACCGTAGAAGATCCAGCGCCAGGGATTTAGCCAATCATACGACGCGAGCCTTCGAAATGCAGTGTACCCACCCAAGCTCTCAACTTCGACTGCACAAGGTGCTCGTTGTCTGCTGCGGAGCTACAACTTTAGGACCTCAGCCGAGGAGTAGCGCAACCTCCTCTCGTATTGACACGCCCCAATGCACGTTCCCGGTGTGTCCCGATCCGTTTCAAGGGTATCCATCGACAGGGTACCCCAAAAACGATTAGATATGGGGTCCCCATAAAACGCCGAGACGAGGGTGGACCCCAGAACACGAGACTTGGCTGCCAACGAGGATGCTTTTCCTGGCGGCGCTCGTGCTCTTCTTGGTGACATCGCTGCTTGTTGTTATCGTCGTCTTCTGCGCTAATGACACGAGGTATTGCACTCAACACGCGGCTGCATGTGCACGGCTCGTATTGCGTAGCGACGGGTTCATGGGACGCCTCCATCGATGGCTGCTCAACGACGTGCCCAATGCACTGAGGTAGCTTTGGTCTCGCCTACGCAGCTGACGTCCCGCTGCTGTAGCGATGGCATCTTGCGTCTCTGCGGTGAGCGCGCCCACCGCCACGTGGTCGCCACCGTGCAGTATGTGCTCCACGAGCGTAATCCGCTCATGCAGGTACAACGCCGTCTTTGCACTTTGAACCGCCGGCCTGTACACCGATGTAGATGGTCTACCTCTTGCTCGTGGGCGGTGGCTACGGCCTCTTTCTGATTTACGGCCAACCGTTGATTCCCAATGTCTACCTTGCCCCGCACCACACGTACGTCGCCGTCGTGCTCGTTGCCTGCGTCCACATGCGCGCGTAGGATTTGTGTGTTGTTCCTGGCTACAGCCGCGCTCTGCACCTTTTTCCAGGCCTCTTCCACGTCCGCTGGCATCTTGAACGAGCGTACGTGGCGCGTGCTCGCCTCCTGTCCCAATATCGCGTAGGCACGTCACGATGGCACGATCATTACCCGTTCGACGGCGTCATGTATAAGAAGGACAACACGTGCAGCACCTGCAAGTGCATCAAGTACGCTCTCTTGTCGCTCCAGGCGTGGAGACGATGACCAACTGTATGGTGCAGGGTCGCTCGTTCCAAGCACTGCACGGTGTGCAACGTCTGTGTCCCGCGCTTTGACCACCGTACGTTGTCGATCATCGGCTTATTGCATGCTGATGCCTCGCGTAGACTGCGGTACGCTCTTCGCAGGCCGATGTGACGGCACGTCATGATCACAGGGTGGCTCAATGCGTGCGTGGGCGAGCGCAACTACAAGAGCTTTCTTGCCTTCATCATCGTACCTCATGCTTCTCATCCTGCTCTCTCTTCACGTTATATGCGAATTAGACCAACGCATGCTTCCTCCTCTACGGCGCCTACGTGCTTACTTGCATCCTGCTCAGCGAAGTCCATTCTTTCATGCAAAGGTGTGTACAACTTGTCATGCGTCGACTAGGTGGTGACCCTGCAGCTCTTCCAGTCGCAGTTTGTCGACCAGGCAACCGGCGCGCCGACGAACGCGACGACGTTCATCGTGTTTCGCTACATGCTTCACATCCATCCGGTCAACATGATGCTTCTCTTCATCTGCGTCGTCATGGGTGCGCGTCATCACTTTGTCTGGCAGGCGATGGACAATGTGTCTGTTTTAGGCGCGGCCCTAACCTGCTTTTCGCTCTTCCATTTGCGTCTTGTCGCGCAGAACCGGACGACCAACGAGTTTTTCAAGTACGACACGCGCGTGCATCTCCAGTGCGCGAACTCGTGATGCGACCATAGGCAACGCAGCTTGCGCACGGCGACGCGCGACGCGTATACGCTCGAGTCGTTCTGGGCCAATGTTGCCGAGGTTCCGCGCTTCCAATTCGCATGACGCAACGTTTCGTGCGTAGGTGCTCTTCCCCGTTTGCGACCAGCGCCTCCAAAAGGCGCTCGACCTCCATCACGCCAAGGCCAAGCAAGAGTAAGCAGCAAGCAACAACATGGCATCTTACTCGTCAAGGGCCAACGCAGCGACGGTCGATGGCATGGACGCGCGCACCGACCGCACGCGCGCCGGCGTTACGTATCCTGTCAACGACTCGGCGGGCGTTGCGCCGTGCGAGACAAACCGGCGACTGATCCACTCGGCCGTCAAGCACGCATAGATGCCGCAGTCGACGCCGTTGGTTTGCTGGGCACACGCCATGGCTTGGACGGTTGCGGTCGCCGGGTCTTGGCCGAGCGCGAGCAAGAGGACGCGTGCGAGCTCGTAAGCGCTGTCGATATTGTGGTTGCTGCTCGAGTCATAAAACTCAAACGCGTTGGTCGCTTGACGGTAGACGAGCAGCGCCCAGTGGGTGCCCTGCGACGCAAAGCTCGATCGGTCGTTCACGGGCAGCAGCACAAGCGCCTTGGTGTGCAGATCGAGGCCATTCGCCAGGTCGGCCAAGTCCTCGGGGTCGTCACACTAGTAGGTCGTAGCATCGCCATGGTGCATGGGCATCGTCGTACCTGTAGCAGCATGCAGGACGCCACCGCCGGGTCCATGAGGAGGACATCGTCTGCACCGCCGCACATCTCGTAATGGATCATCGTCAAGTAGAAGTGCACGGCGGCGTCATTGAGCCACTGGTTCCGCGGGAAGAGCGCCAGGTCCCGCTCGTACAGCTGCGCGTCGTGGAACCGAATGGCCATCCCTGGTTTCTTGTGTTAGACGCGAGCATCTGCCGTGTTATACCTATTCAACATATTACACTATTGTTGTAATCCGCAGTGCCATAACGTCAAATGCACGGAAATCGTGTGCGACATGCCTTGAATACTGTGATAAATCAATGAACACTATTTATGAGCAGTTACACATCTCGGTTTCACTCAGCGCAGCGTAACCAGCAAGCATGGACCACGCTCCATCAGCCTTGCAGGCGGTGGCTCTTGCCGCCAAGCAAGACGATATCGCTGACGATACCATCCAAGAAGCTCTGCCAGAGACCAAGGAAAAGCCACCTGTGCCGGCGCAACCTGCGGACGACCCGGTCGACGAACTCTTTGGCAGCGACGATGACCAACCATCCAAACCCGCCGAGCGCGTCCTTGCTCCTCGCCCGACAAGTCTCGTCGACGTTGCCAAAGACGTGAATACTAGTCGGCCATCATTGCTCCAAGTTGCGCAGCAAGAAGCTTCCCAGCATGCGCCGAGCCTCGTTGCCGTCGCCCGTGACGGCAGCAGTCGCAAGAGCCTCATGGATGTGGCCGCCGAGTCCGCCGCAGCCACACGGTCGAGCCTTATTGAGGCCGTGGCCAACATACCATCTGCATCCGAGACGCTACTTGGCGTGGCCAAGACGGTGCAGTTGCAACACCAGTCCACGATCGCGACGGTCCTCGGCAAGGTCGCCGACGACGAACGACGTGCGAGCGACCGGCACATTACAAAGACGCTCCGCGCGGCCGCGACCGAGGTGACGACGCAGCGTGACGTGGATGCAGGCGCGACGCTAGCGACGGCGGCGGCTGAGGTCCGCGCCGAGCGAGCGTCGTTTGCCTACAACCATTCGGACACCAAGGTCGACGTGGCCGTTGACATTCTCGTGCGCCAGCCAACGTTGTCGCCAAAGAAAGCACCGCAACGAGTCGTCGGGTCCGTTGATCGCGCTGTCCTCCAAAGCCGTCAGAGCCACGGACTCAAGCACTCGGGGCCGCTCCTCAAATCGCGCAAGGACCAGCTCTCTTCGTACCAGCAGGACCATTTGACCGCCACGCAAAAGCGACTCTTGTATGCAACGCTCGTCGAGCACAAACCGTCGTCCAAGCGAGGTAGAAACCTAGCACTGCTGACAATTATTGCCATATTTTTATCCAATATCTATGATAGACAACCAAACGCGCATGGTCTATCTCGCAAACTACAAACCATTTTGTCCACTTGGCGCGATGTAGGCGGCGATCGAGCGCATGGCGACGCCGACCAAGCCAAAGTAGATGTATATTTACATGGATGTACTTTACACTTAAGTGTAGACGCTTGCTCGGGAAAGAAAAATACGCGCGCGAAGACGACCGCAAGCACTGTCGGTTCAAACCGCGACTCGGCCGCGGGTCGCACGAGTCGGGCGGACGCAGCGACGACGACGATGAGACAGACAACCAAGACTTTATTCGGCGCATGGAAGCCGCCGAGAAGGCCAAGAATGAGGTAGTATCTGCACTCGCTCGCCAAACCAACTAATGTTGCTATGTATATCTAGTCGATTCGGCGCAACCGCGAAGAGCGCGAGTACATTGCCCAACTGGACAAAAAGGTGGTGACGTTCCAACGCTGCGTTGTATTGACGGGTTCTGGACGATCCCGCAGGAGTGCCCCAAGTGCGGCAACCTCCAGTCCTACTCAGAAGTCAAGCAGAAGCGCAAGCAGTGCCCCAACTGCGGCGTCGCGTACCGGTCCCGCATGGCGTGGGGCGACGTCGAGTCGGACTTCTTCACGCGTGTCTCGGACTTTGAGTCGCATAAAGCGTCCCGGCGTCAGCAAGTGGCGGCAGCGACGACGCCCGTCTTTCGCGTGCTGGAGCGCAAAGTGCTCGACCCGCATACGCACACGATCACGACCCAGCGCCTTCGGCCCCTCACCTGGGTAGCCTGGTTCATCCTCTTCTAGCTGACATCATTGGTGCTAGAACGACGTCGAGGCAGACTTTCTTGGGCGCGTGCAGCTGGACGAGATGAACCGCATTCTGGTACGTTCACCGCCGAATTGGCGAAGGGGCAAGTAGTTGCCTGACAACCTGTACATTGGTAGAACCGAGAGGAGCTCGAGCGCGAGTTCTACGGCTTCCTTACGTTTCACCCGAGCATTACGCCCCACGCCAAACGCGTAAAACACCATCGGCAACGTCGAGACGACATGACCTGCACATGTAGCTGACGTATGCGCGCTTTGAAGAACGCATGCAGCGCGACATTGACGACCGAGCGAGTCGTCTCGCGCAGGTACAGCTCGGCACGGATCGAATTTTGATTCATGAACGCGAGGGTAGTATGAGATGCGCGCCAAGCACGCGCTGTCGTACGATGGGTAGCAACAGAGTACGCAAAGAAACGAATGGCTGTATCTCAAGAGGCGGTTAATGGTCGAGAATGCGGAGGTTGCCTGTCACGACCTTGTCTTCGAGGATCGTGCCATCGGGAAGGTCGATCTTGCACCCTTCGTTGGCCACCAAGATGACCGTGCCCTACAAGGTCGCATGCGTTCGACCGTATGCGGCGGAGGTAGTATACCTTGAGCGTAATATCGCTGCCAAACTTGACATCGCCGGCGACCGTGAGGTGATCGAGCTCGAGGATGTTGGGGATGCCACGCTCAAGGCGCTCAGCGTACTGCTGCGCCGTCTGGAACTCGCGGCCGAGCTTGACGATCGGGATTGTCGGCAGCCCCCGGCTCGGGTTCATGAGGAGACTGCCGTGCTTGATCTGGTACAAGTTGGACTGGACAAGGAACAAGTCGGAGGACGACTTGACGGGCAAAAAGCGCAGTCGCGGGACTTGGATGCCGATGAAATTTTTGAAAAACTAGCACAAATTCTGAATATGCGACGCCATCACCAAAGCGAGAGGCACCTGAATCGCACCACCGGCGGCCGTCTCGAGCTGCACGACCTTGTGGTTGCGCACAGTGCGGTAGCTCACGATCGGGTTGATGTCGATGACGTCCTGCGCGACCATGCGCTGGATCGCGCGTAGATTGACCCAGAGGTTGTTGGTGTTGAACTTGGTGAATTTGTGGAGCGACCGAAACTCCTCGAGGTACTCGGTAGGCACTTGGTTGACTTCCAGCAAGTGCGGCTTGCCCTTGTACGTGACGAGCGTGCCACCTTGGACATCGGCCCGCGTCTTGTCGGTCACCTCCATCATGAACTCCGAGTCGACGTTGATCATGTGGTACAAAATGTCGAGGTTCACGGTCGCGCCCAGGTTGTCGACGTTCGAAATGAAAATGTATTCTTTGCCCTACCCCCGCCGAGTTTACACTTGCAATCTCGCAATCTCGCACCTGGTTGATGAGGTTTTCGAGCAGCCCCGACTCGAAGAGCGCGTTGTACACATCACCGTGGCCCGGCGGGTACCTGCATACGTCGTTCATAGAGGGCAGAGGGCCATCGGGGACGTACCATTTCTCCTGCGTCGCCTTGTCGTACTTGGCCGACGGCAGCGGCACGGCAGATTCTTTCACGACAAATGGATACGAGCTCTACGCGCCCATCATCATGATCACCTCGTGGCAATGGCAAGCGTCGTTGGACGTACTTGGTTGAACGTGTGGATGCTCAGGTTGTGCATGCGGTACTTGCGGATGATGCGAACTGTCTCGTCATGCGTGTTGAACGAGTTCATGAGCACAAGCGGCACGTCGACGCCATAGAGGCTGTTGAGGTACTATAGCGCATGCATTTAGAAGACGCAAAGGCCGGAACGAGAGCCGTACCTCGACTTGGCGCACAGTGAGGTCCAAAAACGAGAGGTCCTGGCGCACTTCGATCGCGCTCTTGGGGCCTTGGCAACCCATGGTCGTGCCGAGACCGCCGTTGAGCTTCAAGATGACCTATGCAAGACGATGAGACGATGTATGTAGCCAACGCGATGTACAAGCTTGTCGAGGAGCTCGTGCTTGAGGCTCGCGTCGTTCGGGCACACTTCGACCGTCGCGCTGTTGGTGACCATTGTGTCGGTCGGCGGCGACACCGACTTCCTATTCGTATTCGCCATGGGTCTATGCTAGAGCGCATGCATCGAAGTACCAGTCGATCGGGCTCTTCTTGTTGGAGCAATACTTGCGGAAGAGCTTCATAAAGCCCTTGCGCGAGCGCGGGGCCATGATTTCGCCCGCGGCCAGCGCCTACATGGCAGCATGCTGCATGAGCCACAGTCGCATGGCGCCATGTCTACCTCGGACATCTGGTCTTCCACCGAGAGCCGGCCCGGCGCATGCGTCTTGTACTGGATCATCCTGCGGCTTGGTCGGTCCAAAAGTCAGTGAAGTTGGACGCGATCACGTCGCCGGATACAAAGCCAGGTGCAAACAGGTGGCGGCTTTTTTATCCGGATGATGGCCAACCGCGCGGGTTGGCGGAGTCGTCGGCAGCGACCTTTGAGGCGACCGGCGTAGCCTCCGCAAGCCTCTGTGTAACGAGGAAGCACGCCGAGAGCGCGGTCGCCACTCGATCGAGAACGACCGCGCAAGGCAGAGTCACCCAAGAGCTAGAGTAGGCGCCACCCATGTCACAGCGCTGCGTTGGTTGCCTCTACAGCGCTCGTACAGTAGGACGCCAGGCGCCGTGCAGTGCCAATGCATCTTTATGTCGAGGCGCCTAAACAAGCGCGAATGCATTTTGACCCGAAGTCGATTTACACGTCCACATGATGTCCAAGTGGCAGCTGCATTGCGACGGCGGTCCAACTGCGCGAGGATGAACGAGACAGGTTGAACCGGTGGGCAACGCATCTCAATCCGCGCACGGCGCTTCAAATGGTAGCTACTATAGAGTACGAAAGTACTAGAGATGACGTTCATGGGACTACTTTGTGTTCAAGTTGGGCGAGATTGGTGTCGGAGCTGCATGCTCTTGCTCGTCGCCACCAAAAAGACAATATTGAATGCAGAGGGGTGCTATTTCAACGTCGAAGGACTAGTATGGAAGCGAACGTCGGCCACAAGCGAAATGTGGTCGGAGGGAAACACGCTTGACGGCAAGGACTTTTCATGCCCGGCGACGTCGAGCGAGAAGAAGGGCAGATGACTCGTCGGCGTCAGCGTCTCCGTGTCGACAAGAATGTGGTCCAACGTCCCAATGAACGTGAATTCGTGGTTCTTGACGAAATGCGTAAACTCGGGCGACCCGCACGCACTGCCGAGGCTCAAATCGTGTGCGAGCGTCTCTGGCATCGTATCCGGCCACGGCGTCGGCGTCGACCCTTCCTCTGCGCTCCACTGGAACGCCGCAGCTTCTTGCCAATGCCGGTGGTCCGACCCAACGGCCCCGCGCAGGAGAAACTGGGCGGGAATCGCGTCCGGAAGCGCGTTGAGGTCGCCCGTAATGACGACACTGACTGGCACGCCGTCTCTCGCTTCAATGTCGGCCTTCTTTTGCTCGAGAAACCGCGTCATGAGCACCGTCTGGACGAGCCGGACCGCGTCCGCGTCGTGACGGAAGAAGAGGTGCGTGTTGGCCACGAGCACGATGCCAGCGCCATGCACCTGCCGCAGCAAAAGCACTTGCGCGACGGACGGGACCGTGCCCACTGCGAGCGCGACCTGCGGGTGCGCGCTGAGAAAGTGCTGCAGCGGCGACGTCGACTCAATGTCCTTGAGGGCGTCTGCAAAGCCTACAACGGTGGCTTCGACAAGCTGCCACTTGGCCGTGTTGTACAAGACGGCGCAGCCTTCGGGCGTCGTGCCTGCTTTGCCTGCGTAGTGCCCGTCAAAGCCGTGGGCGCGCAAGAGCGGGAGAAAGTACGAGTGGAAGACACCATGGCCCATTTCTTGAGCGCAAATGAGATCGGCGCGCGTCTCCAGCATCTCGAGCGCGATGAGCGGCAGCCGGTATTTGTCAAAGAGGATGCCGGGCTGCGCATACGGGTACATGCGATTGTACGCGCGGTCGGCACGGGCGTACTTGGCATACAAAATGTTGTACGACATGATCCGAAAAGCGCTCGCGTCGTCGGTGTCGGGGGCGGGATGGGCGAGACGCGCGGCGAACGCCGACCGGTCCGGCGTCGGCACGACGTTCCCGGTTGTCGTCGTTGCAAGCGAGGCGCCGGTGGGCGCAATGCAATTGACCTCGAGGCGACACCCGACGTCGTCGCTGGTCGGCGTATACACAAAAGCTGCACCGACAACGGTCCTTTCACTGGTCGACGACACGCGCGTCCACATCCATTGGCACTCGGTTTGGGTGCAAAATTCGAGCTCGACCGTCGGCACGATCGGGACGCCAACAACGAGGTCGAACTCGGTGACCGACAACGCAAGCAGCGCCGGCTCGTTGAGCACAATGGCGTACACGTCGTCTTGGATCTGCAATGTCATAGCACGTGGCAAGACATCGCCAAGCGGCAGCGTCGGTGAGAGCGGTGCGCCGTCGCGATCGCGCAGCTCGATGGTTGTTGTGGCCTTGCCTAGGGCTTCGTGCACTTGCTTGAGCTTGGTCTTCTTGCCTTGCTTGAACTGCTGCTTGGTCATGGGCGGGTGCAAGAGGCGGTCGATGCGCACGAGAATGCGGCTGAGCTCTTCCGTTGGCTGGCGCACGAGCTGCCGCTCGACGCCCAAGAGCGGAAACTTGAGCGTGATGGCATCGCTGCCGCGCACGTAGCGCACATGCGCCGTCAGCGGCGACGTCGAAGGACCCGTGCTGGCCATCGTCCTCACTTGCAGAATGGATCGGCGGAGGATGGTCGATCGGGACGCGGCGCCACAGAGCACGTTGCAAGAACGGGGAGCGTGGTGCGGATGAGGTAATCACCCCGTCCTTTCCAGTGATTGGCCATAAGCCCGACCAATCACGAAGCGGCCAACAGCCAATCCAAGGCGTCGCTTTGATCGAGGTAGGGTACGATGAGCCAATCAAACGTTGGCTGTGGGCTGTCATTGGCCAATCCAAAAGAACCAATCCCGTCTTCCCGCCGACCTGCCACTGCCAAGTCCATGGCCGAGTGCCGTCAAGGCGGCGCGTGTCGCTCAACTGCGCTTGCACCGCAGCTTCGTTCACAAGCCATCAGCGAGTGGCCGCCAGCTCCTTGTCCCGCGGATCGCGCTCCTGCCTCCGCCGGCCTGGATCAATATCAACACCAGCGCCTACACAACGAAGAATGTCCGACACTTTGATTTAACGCAGATTTGCGTTAGACGACCCACTTCAGCAACAACCAATTTAATGGGCATCAGAGCACACAAGGGCGCGATAGCAAGGGGCAATAAGATGCATCTTATTGAACGAGCGCAGGTGCATTGCGCATGTCTACAACGTCCGTTTCCGTTTCAATAGCAGGGGCATCGCGTGCCCAACGCGTCTACTTGTCTACTCGTCTTCGCGGAAGAATCGCTTGGGCAGCGTCGCTTCAAAGGCTCTTTGCCAATCGCCGTGGTTGGCGACTTCCATGAGCGTCAAGAGCACTGTGTCGATGTTGAGCACATGCGAGCGAACGTTGCACGTCTCTTGCACGGGCAGGCGCGCCGTCGTAATGTGCTGCACACGAGCGGCTTTGGTCAAAGTCTCGCTCTACGACGCAAGGTGGCAAGGCAAGCGCACACACGACAACATGTACCTTGCGCACGGTGCGATCCACGATGCCACCGACAACGTAGACAGCTGTCGGGTCCAGCTCTGTTAGAACATTGGGCGAGTCGGGTGACAAGAGGACGATCATGTGGCCGGGAAAGAGCTCTTCGATCGGGGCGGCATGGCGCGTCACCTAGAACGCAGACTCAGCGACCCGAGTACTTCGCGCGCAACCCGACCTTCCATGCGTTGGCGCCGCGCTTTTCACAAAGCGCTGCAATGTCGCCTTCGTACGATGCGAGGTGAAGCGAGAGAAGAGATGGGAGCTCGCTCTTCTTCATGGCACCGTACACGCAGGCGACTTGCTTGATGACGCTGTGACGTTCCTAGTCCATGTCGAAGTCGAGGCCACGGAACTTGAAGCTATCTATACGCGGGGTGTTTGCTCATGGAGAAAGTTCAGGTCGACGACGACGCGGAGGCCCGTCGCCATGGCGTAGTTGAGCTTGTCCTAGTCGCCATGGACGATACTACGCAAGTTGAAGTGACGGTGAACGCACCTCGAGCTGGGTCTTGGCGAGCTGCTTTTGCGCAATCTTGGCGTCGTAGCGCATCTGCTTCTCTTCTTGGGTGATGGAATCGTCGCGGGCTTCGTAGGCAATTTGGCGTTCAGCCTGGTGCTGGCGTTTCTTGTCTTTTCGGCGGGCGTCAATGGCGGCGCGGCGATGGTCGATGCGCTCTTGCCGGCGCTGCTGCTTGGTGCGCTTCTTCTGCGCAGCAACCTCATCTGAAGCGTCTTGCACCCATGCGACCAGCGTCGCAACGACCAGGGCGGCGCCGACCCACGCCGCCACGGCCCAAGGACTCTGTGTCATCGCTAGATTCTGTTGTTGGTCCCGCCGAGATGCCAGCTCGGGAACGAAAACCACGCCATTTTATGCCTTTTTTCAACGTTCTCCGTCAAATTCGGTCTCATTTTGCATATTTCACGCCTAATATGGCGGCTCAGATCAGCTCAAGATGCCATTGGCTCGTGGAAGCTTCGAAATTCTGTGCTTGAAGTGGGCAAAACCGGCATATTTAAATAGAAAAAAGTATCGTTGTACTTGATATTTGTATGCAAGTGATCTCGCGCTTGGGATCCCCGAATTAAAATGGACGCCATGGTCCCAGTCTCTGTTTGCCGATTTTTGCCTCCGATGGCGGCGATCCCGCGGTCCAACCTCACGGACGCCGGGAGCGAGCGCAGCCCGCTCCTCCGCGCCATGCGCAACTCGTTCCAGGAAGACTCCTTGTACCAGTCCATGTCGAATCCCAACTATTTATCCACCGAGTCGACGACGACGACGGACGATGCGTACCTTGGCGGGCGCATGCGCGTCTTCCGCCCGATCGTGTACGCAGAGAAGGCGCTCGGCGTGCTCCTCAACAGCGTCATCATGTACGTATTTTGCTGCATCTTGGGCCTCGGCCTCATCTGCATCAACGCCGACGGCGTCCTCGGACCTGGCCGCGGCTGGAACTGGTGGCTCGTCTTCATGCCGTTCTGGCTTGGCAATGCGATTCTGCTTATTGCGCACTTTCTCTCGATGCGGTCGGCCACGATGCTGCGCCAATGGGCCGAGACCGACTGCATGTCGAACGAGCCATTGCTTCCGCTTTTGCGCAAGATCCTCCTCGTCTACGCCGTCTCGGTCCCGCTCACGGCCTTTCTCCTCTGGAGCGAGCTCGCGTTCTGCGCCATCATGAGCGACATGACGTACCGATCGACGTCCGTCTACTTTGCGTTCACGCCCATTCTCATCATTGAAGCCGCGTACATTGTGCGGTACCTCCTCTGTAAGGCCAAGAGCACGCTCCCGGTACACATGTCCCGGCATCTCATAGTCTCATGCCTAATGTCTAGGGCTGCAGCTGGGTCCTCGCGTTTGTGTTTACGCTCATGCTCGCGTTCAATGCCGACCTCATCCACCGCCGCAACCCCGAGACGGACGCGCTGCCCGGCGAGCTCCTACCGTGGTTTACGGTCTTTTGCCCGATCTTTGTCTGGGAGTTTCTCATGTTTGGCTCGCTTCTCATCGTCCTCTACTCGCAAGCGGCCGGCTACTACAACATGGCGTCGTCGCAACTGACCGCCACGGTGCTCTACACGCTCGCGCTCGCAGCCGGCGCGATTGGCCACGTCATGCTGCTCGAGCACATGGAGCTCGAGTCGACGTCGCTCGACGTGCCGTCGATCCTCTTGTTCTCGGCGTGGGTTACGGGCAGCCTCGCTTTGTACATCATTTCGCGCCAAGAAGTCGCCAAGCTCATGGCGTCGCGCGGCGGCGCCGTACCCGTGCCCCTCACGCGCACCGACCACGGGTGGGTGACCAACCATGCCGTCACCGACCAATGGATGCTGCTCGGTGACATTCCGCTCACGTCGGCGGGGCTCGAGCAGCGCGGTACGCGCAAGCGCACCTCGAGCGACATGGAGAGCGATCTCAACTCGCAAGGATGGCTCTGGGTGCGCCAGGTGCTCGGGTCGCGGCTCTGCTCGTGGTGCTGCTGCCTCGCGTCGCGCCACTCGTTTGACGCGTCGTCGCCGAGCGAGCACCCGGAAGGCCGTCTCAAGAACGTCAAGCGCAAAAATTCCGGAAGCTACAGCGATCTGCACCTCGACGTTGTCGCTACCAAGTAGCAATCCCAATATCCGCTTGCTGTTTCTGTCGTTTTGCAGTCGTGGATCTCGACAACCGTTTTAGAAAGTGTGCACACTAAGATCGAAGCGTCGTCTTATTCTGACGTGAACCGGTCGACGCCGTTGGATCTGTTGGTGGTGGTTGGGTGCAGCCGTATTTGAGACCGGTATATAAAACCAGTCACGACCAGAGCGACGGGGAATCAACCACACGTCGTCCACGCCAGCACCGACAGCTGAGAAACAAGCATCTCAACATGGTGTTCTTGGTCGTCACCTTGTCAATGGCCAAGTGACCATCGAAAGAGAATGGTATGGGAGGAGGCCGAGTAGCCAACGCGCTGGCGACGGAAGATGCTGGTTCCCACTATCACACAAGAGCACTTTGCCTTGGGACAGCAAACTCGGCGGCCAGTTCGATTCGAACTCGTCGCGATCTCACGCCACGGAATGTACGTACGACGCATGTTGTACGGGACCGTACATCCCTTTTCCAACACGTTGCCATGCACGCTAAGGCCGTCTACCGCCGTTTCCATCGGCTGTGAATGTACGAGGCGGTCGTCCTCATGCCACGCACGACGCTGTAGCGCGCTGTCGTGTTTGCAGCAATGTACGTGTACGGCAATGGACGGCAGTTACTTGATTGTTGGACTTTCCAGCGGCCGGTTTCGATGTTTTTTGATTTTCGAGATCTTCCATGGTTCTTGCGAGCTCGCAACCTGCGTACAATCCAAAATGGACGACCAGCGCGACCTCCTCCTCGACGTAGCAATCAACGAGCCGGCCGCACCGCTGCATATCGCTGTCTCGCGGACGTACGCGGAGAAGTACACCAACGTCGTGAGCAGCCCGACATCGGTCGCCGACGAACTGCCGGGCATCGTCTGCCTCGGCTGCTACACGCATGGCACCAAGGCGATGCGTGACCTCTGCGTGCGCCAAGCGTTCTTGACGCAAGATTTATTGGCGTACCACCATTTGCACGCGGGCAGCGACAGCAATGACTTTGCGGTGCAGCTCGTCATGACCAACGTCGTGCCATGGACACACGTCGACGCGTACAAGGCGCTCGTCGAGCAGAGCGTGGTCGAGGTCGAAGGCGTCTTTGGCGGCCAAGCGCGCACGTACGCCGACGCTGGCGTCGCGGAGCGCAAGGCCGATTTCTTCTGCGGTATCGTCTGCCACTTTCCGTCACTGCAAGCATGCATCTCGTGGATGTGCTGCGCCAACAACGCCGAGCTCAAGCTCGGTTGTCCGACGCTAACGCTGCAAAAGGCAACGTTTACGCTAATTCCGGTCCCAAACGACGTGCCGCACCTCGACTCGTCGGCGTTCGACCCGATCCACGGCAGCGCAAGCCCGACGTCCAGCGACGAAGTGTGCTCGATTTCGTACGAAGAGTGCCTCGAGTTTGCACTCCTCGACATGGAAGACTCGGAGACCGAGCCCGAGTCGCACTGCAGCCTCTACAGCTACGCTGGCATCGAGTACCACGACAGCGGGGTGCCGGAGACCAACACGGCGGTCGCATTGCCGTCGATTACGATGGCGACGTTTGTCGACGGCCATGGCATCCCGCTCGCGTTCAAGTCGCTCTACTACCGCAACAACAAGAAGGGCGGGATCCGCAACATGCGGTAGGCCACTACGCGCTTGGTCATCGATACGATTCGCTTCTAGGTGTTTTCCGCAGTGCAAGCGGGGGGCCCACACGACGACGAGCTTTTGCGGCGACCTCCTTCGGCTCCAAGTCCACTTTAGCACCGAAGCGCGGCCCCGTATATTGGGCTTTGCCCGCTTTCGGAGTGCGATGGACCACGCACCGCCGCTCCGCGCCGGCATGGACTTGGACGCACGCATGATCACCGACCACCTCCGCTCCAAAGAGTCGCCGAAGGAGATGTGGATGCAGACCAAACCCGTCGAGTTTGTGTCGCCGACGCACGTCATTTACGAGATCCGTCCGTCCGAGCGCACGCTGTCGTGGCACTATGGCTTCCACGGCCCGACGCCGCAGCTGCAGAAGAACCATACGCATTTTCTCGAAATCGGCTTCTTTATCGAGGCAAGCGACGGCCGACTGCGCTGCATTGGCGCCGCGCAGACGCCGCAGTTCCGCGTCGCGTCGAGCCGCACGTGGGTCAAGGAATAGCGTTTTGTTTGTCATTTTGAGCGTTGAAAAGAGCTTTCTGTGTGTGTATGTGGAGAATCCTATGCGGCGTCCACCGCCGCGTCCTCGCCCATGGCGTCGTCCAGCTTCGTGGTCTCGTCGTCCAGCTTCGTGGTCTCGTCGTCCGCGACGGGCGACGGCAGCGGCGACGCTTCAATCTCCACTGGCGTCTCTGCCGGCTTGCCCAAGACGCTCTTGACAATGGCCGAGACGCCGTCGACAGCCTTGTTCAAGTGTACGATCTGCGTCCGCATGCAGCTGCGCATGGTCTTCCAGCAAATCATCTACCACCGGCGTTGGCTTCCACTGCGTCCTGGAGGTCGTACGCACCTTGTCGTTGTCGGGCCAGTACGCGCGCTCGATGCCATTTTCGGGGTCCCACGCCATCTCAAACTGGTCCGTAAACTCCTTCAGAGGTTTGACCGTTGCTACAACGCAAGGTTGAACAGAGTCAGAACGAACCAAGCATCTACCGCGGTTTGCTCCGAGGATACTCTGCAGCAGATCGTCCTCCTTGAAGATCCCTTCCGCGATCGTCGGTGCACGGCTCACCTTCGGCCGCTTTGGTGGCGGCACGTCGCCGTCGGTCGCATCCGCAGGGTCAGGACGCCGCTCAAACTTGGGGCACTTTTCAAGCTTCCACGCGACATAGTTGCGCTCGCGCTCGAGCACCTCGGTGAGCATCGCGCTGTACTGCTGGCCGTTGACGTTCTTCTCCAAGAGGCGAAAGACACGGTCAAAGCAGTCTTCGAGCGACGTCTACATCGCAGATGCAACCCCTGTCTTTGCAGAAAGCACGTACCTTGCTGGCGGCGGCGGGGACTTTGGACCGTTCGAGATGACCAAAGAGGATCAGCAGCTACGATCCCTCGTTAGCATCGCGCGACGCAGCACACATCGTCGGACCTGTGTGAGCATGCACTCGCGGAGGACGGGATCGCGCAGCTGCAAGTGAAAGAGGCGGCTGTTGGTCAAGTACTTGGTCTGGAAAAAGTGATCCTTCTGGTCGTCTTCGGACTGCGACTGGAGCTCCCGCGCACGGTCAATGTCGTCGTCCGAGAACGGGTTGGACTCGAACGCCGAGAGCACATCATCGAGCTGTTGAAACTACGGCAAGAGGCGGCCATGAGATCGAAGTCGCACGGCCATTCGTAGCGTACGAGCGTCGTCCACTCGGCATCGCTGTCGGCCACGATGGTTGGGTTGCTCAGGAAGCGCTGCATATCCCAAAAGACCTTGTACAGCGCATAACTCGTTTTGGTTGCTTCTTCCAACGGCGCCTACAGCACCAAGATTAACTTCTTTGGTCAAATAGCTTCACTAACCTGTTCCATGGACGCTTGGAACTCAGCTTCGGTTTGGTACTTGGTGACGTTGCTCGTGTTGAACTAGCCCACGCGTTGTGAGGGTACGACGTAGAAGGTACAAGGCGAAGTACGCGGCCGAGGAGGTTGACGCCCGAACGCTCCGAGAGCGAGAAGGTGTAGGCGAGGAACATGAGAATGCGCCCACAGAAGACCGTGTTGTGCGTCTTGGAGAGTCGTCGGAGGAGCGCATTGCACATGCGCAGCAAGCAGAGCGACGCCTTGCTGTTCTTGCCTGCTTGGATAAAGTCGGTCTATTTGCACGCAACCGCCATGACGACTCTCTGAAGAGGATGCAGCATGGACGTACGGTCGTGAGGCGGCTGCGCCGGCTCTCGAGGAGACCCCAGAGCTGCTCGCAGACAACAATGGTCTGGCAGTCCATGAGGTCTTCGAGGATCTTGTAGGGCGCGTTGAGCATGAGGTAACCGCGCGTGGCGCCGTCCGTGCAGAGATCGAGCAGCGCCGGGATCCCGACCGACTCGAGCGTCGCGTCGCGCTTGCGGTGGAGGTCCCACGCCATCTTCTCGGCCACGCGCTGGATTGCCAGTTCGAGGATCGTGTGCACCTTCTCTTCGAGCTCGTCCGTGGCGATGTGGTCGTCGGCCGCTTCGCTCGTCACGCGCTTAGCGAGCTCATTGAGGCGCGCGGTCGCATCGCTCTTGCGGAAGAAGTAGGCGATCTCGCCCTACATGCATCGAGTCATCCAGCCTCATCCATCATGGCCATGGCAGGCGTCTACCTGCGCGAAGGTCGCAAGCTCGCAGGCCGTCCGTCGCATGTTGTCGCTTCGAAGTTGCAAGAAAGCAGTGGCAAAGAAATGACGCATCGGATTGGCCAAAACCCATTTAATTTCCATTCAATAGTGTATTCGATTGGTCCCATCCGATTCTATAGCGAGATTTTTCAACCAATCCTGGCCTCGAACGCTTGCACAAGCCTCCATATACCGCGAGCATTTCAAACGCTGGTGACGATGAACCACCTCGATCTTCCACTCGACCAGCACCTCGAAGGCGTCGACCGCGCGCTGGCGACGTGGACCGAGACCGAGAAGAGCCGCATCGAGGACGCCCAGCGCGCCTGCGTGAGCGAGGTCGCCAAGGACGAGCAGGAACTGCGCCAGCTGCAAGAGCGCCAAGCATCGCTCCAAGCCAACGCCAAGACTGCGGAAGCGAGCCGCGAACAGCAGAAGCGGTCGATCCATGGTCGAGAAAACGAGCTTCGAGGGCTGCAGGCGCAAGTGCTCAAGGTTGAGCCCGTGCTTGCAGGTCTCAAGTCGCGCGAAGCGCTGCATCGCGGCAACGTGGCTATGGTGAACGAAGGTACGTAGTCCTTGCATCGATCGATCGACGGGGAACGCTTGCATAGAGAGTGCGCGCATGACGCAGGCCCATCAAACGGTGGTGGACGAGCTCATGAAGGGCATCCACATGTACCAGAAGCTGGGTCTCGTCATTGACCGCAAAGGAGGTCGCTGGCTTCATTCCGTCGTACGTTCCTCATGCAATGTTGGATAGAGAGCAACCTCGGCTTTGTCTTTACGCAAATTGACCCGCAGAACCCCGCGCGCGAGTTTTCGTTTGCGTTGCGCATGCACGAGCGCCAGGATGTCTTTGCCGGTAGCCGACGCGTCCTTCGTCACACCTCATATCCCCTGTCTAGTCGAACACTGCGTTCCGGACGTGGCCGACGCCCCCATCCTGCTCGACCAGCTCAACCAAACCGGCAACATGTCGGCCTTTGTCCGGGCCATGCGGCAGCGCTACAAGAGCTTGGTCTAATACATACGTTGCATTGTTTCGATTGCCGAATAAATTAGATGCGTCGTCGCTGGGCTGGCGGCGGCTTTGTCTCGGGCTCGCGGACGCGCTTACCCGTCGACGGTATGGCTGGCCCAATGGCCGCCTCAACTGGGCGTGGCGCCAGCGTCCGCTCGTAGCGCTGCTGGAGCAGCGCCCGACGCTCGTCGAGCTTGGTCCGCGTTTCGGTCGGTGTCTCGTCGTCGGGCGCGTAGGCGATCTGGAGGATGCCGCCATAGAAGGGCTCACGCACGCCCAAATTCTTGGCTCGGCGCGCTTGGTCGGTCGTCGCGTAGCGCAGCCAGACAACGTCGAGGAACTCGGTCGCATCGTCGTGGTCGTCGAGCATCCGGTGCTCTTCAATGGTCCCGTACTTGCCGAAACGTGCGATGAGCTCGTCGCTCGCGCCAAGCGCTGGGACGTTGCGCAGAATGAGGTACTTGGATTCGTCGCTGACGGTGTACGCCCTTGGACGCACCTCCTTCCCGAAGCGCGGGTTGGGCTGCCGGTACCGCGGAATCGCCGCCATGCCAAAATAATAATAATAATATATACGCTATTTCACTGTTAGCAGGTGAAATAGTGTAAGACGTGAGTGCTCCTTGCTCGCACGGACGGTCTTTGACATCGCGGTGACATTTGCCGCCACCATACACCAGTCTCTTAATGGCATGTACCGCCAGCGCTGTAGCCCTGCCGTACCCATCTCGGTCCATCCCGTAGGTAGGAAGCTGTCGGCCTCGATGTGATGTAGGGTTCGGTGTCATGGTGTTTCACGAAGGAAAAGACTAGACACGCGTTTATAATACGTTTAGATAAAAAAGGAGCTCAGAGAAACGAAGCATGGGCGTCCGACAACAGAGTCGACCGCCGATACTGCGGCTCCGGGCGTCGCATCTCGCAATCGAGCATCGATCGCCGGATGGCTTCGAGGATCAAGAGCTCTTCCATGCGCGCCAGCGAGGCAGCGTCATTTCGACTCGGCGTTGGCGCTCGCCGCACGACGGCCACGTGCTGCCCAAGATCCGACTCGCGGATTTGCGCGGCCACCTCGGCTTGAAGACGCTGCCGGTCTTCTACCGATGCAAAGTGGACTTCGACCTCGTTCGTTGCCGACGCCTCCGAGCTGCTTATGTCGGTGCAGTCCGAGTCGCCGTGCTGCCATTTGGCTCCCTATCCGTCATTTGTCGTTCGCTGTGTCGAGACGTCGTCGATTGTACCTGCAATCGACCGGATGCACCAATGGCGAAGTGCGTCTTGAAGTTGTCGTCGTTGCAAAACGGGCAGCTACGCGTCGAGTGAGCGTCGCCAATCGTTTTGTCATCAGCGGTCGTACCTCACCACCTTGTTGGGCGGCTTGGTCTGCAGGACGCACTCTACGTGGTCGTGAGCCACCCGGTTTCCATCCTTGCCGAATGTACCCGAGCATATCGCTTGCTTGCAGCATGTGCTTTGGTTCAACGTGCTCGGGTAGTGCTACGCATCATGAGGCCAAGGCGTCGCGAAAGCAACTGTACGAGGAAGCAAATGGGACACTCGTACGAGCCGGATTGGTGCGCGTCGCTGCCCGGGTACCGTGGCGCCAGCTTGCGCTCGAGGATCATCTTGCGCACGACCTTGTGGTCCCATGGGCACGACTTGTAGAGGCTAGCCATAGGCCATCATTGCATCAAGAGCGAAGGAAGCTGCGGCCACGTACCCCGTCGGCCGCGTGTAGCGTTCGAGCTCCTTGCTCTGGCGGGTCTTGCCGGCGCTGTTGCCCATGGGTCTTCTCTCGCTCCGTCGGTCAAACGAATTCTGAGTGAAGAAGTCGGCAAGATACCGGGTTTAAACGTCCTGTCTGGGTGGATTCTATATTTCCAAATTGTAGCCAATCACAGCACGTCGCAGCGCGTGATTGGTCCATTTGGCTCTGCGCGATCCGCACGCGAAGACGAAGAGGACGACTTGACGTACTGTACGAAGCGACACCGCGTCCGTCGACGCACGAGCAGATCGTAGCTGCAATTGTCGTTCGATCGCGTTATAACTTGCATCCTAACACTCGAATGAGGGCGGCGTGCGCGCAATTCCCCGCACATTTCTCACCATGGTACTCCTTGAACCCGCAGTCGAAAGCTACCAGTACCACGACAATGCGATCTTGCCCGTGGTGTTCTCCATATGCCAAGGACACGAAGCTCAGAGTACAATACTAGTAGCAAGCGGTCCCTTAGCGAGTGTACTCTTGACAAAGTCGGCGCGATATATATATCTGACGATCTGTCTCCTCCTGCACGCCCAGTGCTTGGGGTGTTTGCCGTTCTTTCTCATTGCCGTTCATCGCATTCTTCCACGTGTTGCAGCCTTTCTAGATGGTCCAATCCGGCGCCAGTTCTATTTTTCCAGCCAATCACAATGTTGACTGGTGGATTCTTCGTCTTAGATCTTAGTGCGACCGACCAACTTGAATTTCCAAGTCGCTGTACTCGACGTATGGAAGGTCTTTGGACCGCCAGAGACGGTCTTCAGAGGTCCACGGCTCACGCCCCGCAATCTTGTCGCCGATGCGGTGCTGCACCAAGTAGTCGCTCACGTGCTTGCCAACCATCGACGCGCAAGCTTCATTCTGGACGAGCGACTTGCGGACGCGAAACGACGTTGCACGCTCGAGCTCACAGGTCAAGACGCCCATGTCCTCGACAACGATCGCGGTTTTGGACCACCTAGAAAAGCGTAAGATTGCATCGTCCATTTTCGCAGAGTACTTTGCGCCGAGATGCTTCATGAGCATTTCGGTTTGGTTGGGGCGACACACGGCGATGCAGCCAAAGCCCTCGTCGCGGAGGGCCGTGTGGCTCAGCTTGACGATCGTGTTCACGCCGCAAACGTACAAGACGCGAAATTTGTAGGCTGGAAATTGGGCTTCGCAGATCTAGAAAGCAACTCACATTTACATTCCACACGTGGCGACCGTCATACAACCTCGCGCACGTGCGTAAGAGTGCTGAGGTAGTCGAGCACGCGACGCCGTGTAATCTACGCTCGTATTGAAAACTGACAAAAAGACAGAGAAAACACAACCTCCCACTTGTCGACTTCGATCCACGATGACGTGGCAGTCGCAGCTTCAAGCATTCCCAACCGGTGGGACTTCGGAATCATTTCGCGCGGTTTGCGGCGGTTCTTGGTGCGCACTGCAATATGGTCATTTGATGTATCGACAATAATGTCGTTCCTACCGTACGTATCGTGGCACGGGGAAATGATGGCGCCCACAACCGGAAACTTGTAGTTGCTCTCAATGTGCTAAGTGTCGGATGAGCAAACGTAAACAAGCGGCCTGTACTTGGCGGGCGACGTAAAATGCGCGCAAGTGGAGCATGTGCACGGGGTTGTACGCGCCGCTGGAGACGAGGACGACAACTTCTTGGTCCTTTGCAGTTCCCGCGAGTGCCTGCGCGATCTTGGCTAGTGGGTACGGCACCTCGGACGCGTTGAACGACGGCGGCGCCGCCATCATAAACTACTCGGCCGAGATGAGCTCGAAGCCAGTACGATTGTGTACCTTGGATGGTGAGCCCGTTTGGAGCAAATGCAGAATGCGCGCTTCGACCACCACCGGGTCCAGCTCGTGCTCAAGCTCTTGAAGGACTTGGATCACATCGCCAAACTAGTCGAGGCACGTGAGAATCGAGCGTATGCGCGTCCTGCACGTACTTCGGCATCGACCATTTTCTTTAATCGAAAGATCTAGGTACCCATACGCTCGTAGTTCGACGAGTTGACTGGGCTGCCATACCTGCTCATCTTTGAGTAAAATACGCTTGGTGATTGCTTGGATCGTCGCGTAGAGCTGCGCGCGATGCGACGTCACAACGGTCATGGTGCCGTCTTGGTCTGTCATAAATTTGGTCGTAATCGTGTCGGGCGCCCGAAAATCCGCAAAAATGTGGTGGGCAGGGTCGACGCTCGTTGCAATAGAATCGGGTGGTGCCGCCTCGGGCTTGGTCTCAGCCGGGAAGAGTGGGAAGAGCGCCGGTGCTGTCGTCGTGCGCGATATAATCGCTGTCATTTTCGGCGGCAGGTCCGTGGTCGACTGGCACGCATGGAGCATGGGCTGCACCTACCAAACCCACTAAGTTAACTCCGCTGTCCAACGTATAATTCTAGCGCACCGTGAGAGGGTTGAGCTGTGGAAGACTTTTCGTGGGCTCGACCTGCTGGCTCGAGAGGAGCTCTTCGAGGGCGGAAACGCGCTGGCGAAGCCCCGCGAGCTCGGCCAATTGACGCTGGACAGTCCGCGGCGACAGCGCACTGGCGTCCGAGACGAGCGGCGCCTCAAAAGACTCGAGCAAGTGCGGTCGCCGCGAGTACGTGGACTCGTGCTTGAGAACGAGGTGCCGCTTCATGCGGCCGGCACCGCCACGGGCCGGCAAACAAAAATAAATGGCAGCGTTTCATGCTCCATGCAACGTCATCGCTCGATCGACCGTTGACGCCGACTTTGTGGCCACTTGGGCGATCGAATCTCCGCAGCTTGGCGCGTTTGCTGTCTAAGCTGGAATCTGTTGTTCATGCAAGCACGTGCACGTTTTGGGGATATACCCAAGTACGATCAGCATCGTCTGTAGCCATCAGCGGTCTTCTGCGCGGCAAGGCAGAGGGGCTGAGGCGATCGAGGGTC